TTGGACAGAAGCCTCCAAGTCCCCCTTTATTTTGAACTATTTTTCTGGTCCCCTTAAATTTGATGGAGCAACCTCCGCTTCCCCAAAAGTCTTTTTTTTTTTTGGGCTTCATCAACTGTTATGAGGGTTTATTTACCAGACTTTTACAGCAAGAAAAAAAAAGTGATATTTTTCCGTTAAGGATTGTTCGCAAAAGATCACATTTGACGTTAATTAATAAAGCATTCGCAACAAAAATTTACAGAATAAAAGGTTTCCCCCTTTTTGTATTTACCAGAAAAAAAACTTTTTTTTTCAAAAAGTTAAGTTTGCACATCAAAAAATTACCGCTTAGGGGTTTTTCCTTTTTAAATATTCATATGAAAAACAAAAAGGGAACATTTACTCTTTGGGGGTTTTTTTGGGGAAAGGGAAGACAGAAGAAAAGGGTTTTAAAATTTTGAAAGTTTTCGGGCAGCATGAAGACACTAGTGAGGGTTTAAACCCTTTTTTAAAAGTTCTTACAGAAAGAAGATAAAAGTGAGGGTTTTAAAATTTTTTACAAGGGGGTTTTACGGTTTAAAAAAAAACGGATAAACATCATGGCACACTGGAAAAAAACCCCAATAAGTTTTTTCCCGTTTTTTTTTTTCCCAAATAAAGGGTCTGAGTCCGACGAATTAAACACATTTGCAAAAGGCTCTTTGGCACCAAGAGGATCCTAAAATATTTTAAAGGTAGTTTTTTTTAACTCCAAATTTTTCCCGGGCGGGTGCCTTTAAATTGCTACTTTTTTTTGTTTTAAATGAAAGGGGGAAATTTTTAAGTGCGAAACAATGCACACGGGCGCCCGACCTTACTATCCAGGGGACCGGGGGGAAATTTATTTAGAAGCCCAAAGTCCACGTAAAAAAAAAAAAAATCCCAGCTCTTCCCGGGGGATTAAACCGAAACCCTATCATTTAAAGACGGACCCAGCCTGTAACAACGCGGGCCCCCCCCCCCTTTCCCCCATAAAAAGATACACGGAATTATTTCCCCGTTGTTTACCCTTTTTCTCCGTCTCCGAAAACTCTGGTAGTCTGCTCTTATTTAAACCCCTTGACGCCTGCTCTTGTCCCCAATGAACTCTTTCATCCTTGTGGGTAGTCCCATTTCCGAAAAAAATTGGGGTTGGCAAACCTGGGAAAAAAAAAGATTTGCCGGGAAAAACTTCGATTAACCGTCACTCGTTTAACCGTCAGTTTCTTTTTATTTTTTCATCTTTCTTAAAAATTTCGGGTGTTAAAAAAAAAAAAAAATTTAATTTTCAAAGGGCATGACCTATTATTTTGAAATTACGTGGTTTAAAAAGTATTTCAAAAATTTTTTGTGCATTTTATAAACATCAAACATCACATAAACCCCTTCTTCCCTTTAAACGGGCCCCTTTGGGGAGGTTTAAATTGTGTCCCAAATGCAAAGGTGGCTGCCCCTGGTATTTTCATGCTGTGAAGGTTTTAGATTTTCTTAAATTTTGTCCCATCTATGTATTTTCCGGGCCCTCCCTCTTGATATTTAAGCTGATTTAGGGGAAAAGTGTTATTATAGTATTTGATCCCTTTCTGCTTCTATCTTTTATTTAAGTTTATTGGTTGTTTTGTAAAAAAGAATATAAAAAGCGGGGGGAACCCCGGGTTTTGATTCCTCTTAAGGGTGGGGGTTTTTTGTGGTCGGAGGCAAAATCAAACCCTACCTGCACAGTCGTGGGGAGTGTGGAGTACGTCGTGACAGAGGAAGCCTGGGGTTTCGTGGGGCAGGGGAAAAGGGGGAAAGGGGGGGTAGGGCTCAGTTTTGTCGAAATTAAAAAGGGGGGGCCGCCTCGAGTGAGGGGGGTTTCCCCGGAAAAGGCTTTGGTGAGGGCGGGGGAAGATTTTCACGGGGACTTCTGGAAATTTTTTCTTTTTTTTTCCTGGGTAGTGGGGATGGGACGCCTGTGTTTTTTTTGGGCGCACATTAAATTTTTCCCTTTGGGGCTTTAAAAATCGAAAAGGAGTACCCTAACGGCCTCCCGGGGCAAAATGTGGGGTTTAAAAAATGTCCCCAAAAAAAATTTTTTCCGGGATAATCGCCGGGTAAAACCCGGTTCGGGCACTGCGGGAGTCCCCTTCCCAGCCCGCAGGCATAAGTTAGAAGTAGAAGGGATCACTTATGGGTTACATCCGTGTGCCATGATTTTGATCCGTCGAATAAACATACAGAATAAACTGGAGGGGAAAAGAGGTAGAAGGAGTCATAAACAGAGGAAGACAGCACGCCGTGGAAGATCATCTGGGTTAGAACCCGATTGAAAGTAAAACGGAGAAGAAGGTTGGGGGACTTCACACCTTTCCAAACCCCCATAGCATGGATTAAGAAAGAAAATAAAAGAAGGGCTAACCCGGAGTATGAAACCCTGCATCCCAAAGGGAAATCGGGGCTTAGGGAGAGCAAACAAGGTATTCCAGTGAATCAAGTGGTGAGGAAAAGAGACTGGTATTGGATAAGGCTCGTGTTTAGAAAACTGTTAATAGTAAACATGAAACACCTTTACTACAGGAACTGCAATGTTATAGAGCCCTTTAGGCATACTGGGCATATAGGGCTAGGCCTAAATTTTATGGACCCATCGTGTGTTATGTGGTAAGTATTACGCCGACCGCCTTTACCTTCAGTGATTGTACCAGGTAGCCACTCAAGGTTGGGTACACAGAGAGCTAAGATCATTTTTCAAAAACTAGTCCGGCTCCGTCTGGACCCGAATCCACGCCCTTCCCAAATCTTTATGCCAGCAAATTACCTGTTACTCCCACACAAAAGGGTTTTTGGGAAAAAGGGAAAAAATAGGTTTCCGGGGAAAAAACCCGGGCGTTTCTGAAGCTCAAAAACCAATGGTCGGAAAAAGGGGTTCTAAAACTGTTTTTCTTTGCTGTAAAAACCTACCATCCCAAAATAAACCCCAAATTGCTGGGTTTTCCACCCGCTTCCACATCGTCCCGGGAATCAGTAAATGGTTTCACCCACTAAAGCGTAAAAGTTGATGCCGACCAAAACCTATACAAACGAAAAAACATTTTTAACCTTAGATAGTTATTTTTTCCTCTTCGTCCGTTTCGGGATAAATTTTTCATTTTGAAGCTCCCCCCGGGCTTTTGCCGGGGCCGAAAATATAGGCAGGCCTTTAAAATTTTGGCCAAATTTTCTGAACGCGGTTTCTGGGACCTCCCCAACGGGGATCCTCACCCGCTTTGGTGGCATTTTGTGTTTTTGGGTTTTTAAATCGCTTGTGGGGATGTCCTGGGGGGGTAAAAAGGGTATTTCAGTCATTTATTTAGATTAAATATCGCATCCGTCATCCCCTTGGGTGGGGCATTTTTTTTTTTATTTGAAACCCCCCGGGCCGGGGCTCTTCCCAAAGGGCCGCAATATACCCGGGCAAATAAATAGGGCCCTAAGGCTGAACCCGGTTTTCGGGGCCCTTTTTCCAAAGGGTGATCCCCATCCGCGGGTTTGGCACTTGTGCCCCGGGGTGTTTAGTTATCCTAGGGGGGTTTAAAATCTACTACTAAAAAATTTTTTAAAAGGTTTTTTTTTTTGGGCCCAACCAACCCCCACCTTCATCTGGCCCCCCCAAAACTTATCTTTGACAAAGGATTAAAGTGTGGGTCTTTTAAATTTCCCTTTGGAAGTCGCCGTGGTGAAACCCCCCTAGACGCTCGCTTTTGGGGATCGGAAGGTCGTGGTTCGAAACCCTGGAGGAGCAGGGCTTTTTTTTTTAAATTACCCTTTACTCCCAGGTTTGGGGCCCCCCTTGGGGTGGGGGATGGGTGCGTCCAGGGGAAATAAAGGCGGGAAAAACGTCAATGAGGTTTCCCTTTTCCTTTTCCCAATGTTTTAAAACCAAAGGGGAATCGACTTTTAAAGGCCCCCGTCACTGAAAGTTTTAACAAAACTGAACTCCAAAAACTGCCCAATTGGGGTGCCGGAAAAAAACAGTCAAGATAGTTATCTGCCCGGGGGAGGTAGGGGGCCAAGGGGGGGGCCTTTAAACCTTGTTGAGGTGTTAAAAAAAAACAAATTTTTTTTTGGGGAAAGGAATATAATTAAGTAAAGGAGCCTTTCCACTCTTTTAAGGGGTATTGGGCATTAGGGCTAGACCTTATTTTTTTAGACCCCCAAAGGAAATTGGTACCGCCCCGCCTTTACTTTTCAGGACCCCCTGGTACCCATTCAAGGGTTTTGGGGCGAAGTGAAAAGCCCAAAGGGCACGAAAGAAAGGGCCCGGTTCCGTCAAGACCCAACCCAAGACCTTTCCCCTACACCACGGCCAAATTTTTTTTGCTCATCAAATTTTTGTATAGTTTAGGAAACAAATTTATTTTTAATGCACCCAAAAAAAGGGAAATCCGTGATTTCCCCGGGAAAAAACAATATTTTAGGGGGATTATAGGTTTGGGGTTTTGGGTTTGGATAAGGGTTTATTGTCCCGCACTGACCGTCTTAGAGACTCTAACCCTATCCCCTAATCCTAACCCATACCAGCTCTAGAATATTGGACTTATCGGAAACTCCAGGATTTCCTTTCTGTAGGGTACATTAAAAATAAAGTATCAGGGGAATTGAAGATAACTAACCTTTCTGACTGCTCTTGAAACTGCTCTTGTAGATGTGGTAAGCTTTTGCGTGGGAGCGGAGTACATTGTGGGCAGCTTGATAAACAGCAACCCCAGGTCTGGTTTTTCCAGGAGGGTGGAAACCCACATCGTAGCCGAAGACTGTAAACACATAGGGTTCGTTGAAGGTGACCCAGTGCTTCACCTGCAGGGGAGGGGGTGGAGAATGAGGTATAATTATAAACACACACACACACACACACACACACACACACACACACATATATGTGACATATATAATGAGAAATTGGTAAAATGGCGACAATGGCTGTTTACCGCTCTACCTTTGTGCCCCACCTGGGCTAGAAGTGTGAGTCGCTGGCAATGACAAGTGCTTACAGCAGCCAGCTTCAGGCCTCAGAAAAAAGATATCGGAGAAAGGTGGTCCAAGTGACAAGAAGGGGCAAAGTTCGTAATCAGAAAAAAAAGTCATGATATTGAAACCCTGGCCTTAAAACCTCGAGTGGATCAGTCGCAGTTACAATGTCTCACATAACGATATAATCTGTAACAAGTACTCACCATATCTCATATAACTATATAATCAGACAGAAGTACTGTGTCTTACATAACTATGACAATCTGATACAAGTACTCACCCTGTCTCACATAACTATGACATCTGATACAAGTACTCACCCTGTCTCACACTACATTTTCATTTGATACAAGTACTCACCCTGTCTCACATAACTATGACATTTGATACAAGTACTCACCATGTCTCACATAACTATGACATCTGATACAAGTACTCACCCTGTCTCACATAACTATGACATCTGATACAAGTACTCACCTGTCTCACATAACTATGACATCTGATACAAGTACTCACCCTGTCTCACATAACTATTTCATCTGATACAAGCACTCACTGTGTCTCACATAACTATGACATCTGATACAAGTACTCACCATGTTTCACATAATTATGACATCTGAAAAATGTACTCACCATGTCTCAAATAACTAAGTCATCTGATACAAGTACTCACCGTGTCTCACATAACTATGACATCTGATACATGTACTCACCATGTCTCAAATAACTAAGTCATCTGATACAAGTACTCACCGTGTCTCACATAACTATGACATCTGATACAAGTACTCACCGTGTCTCGCCTGTCTCATCTGTCTCAAGGGCTCACTTACCCTGTTTCCAAAATGCTGAAAACAAACTCTGGCGTATTCCCCGAAAATGTTCACCAATGCTTCTGTTTGTCCACCCGCCGGAGTCCTGGAGTGCTTGAGGGAGATCCCAGTGATATAGTGTCACCATGGGGATGATGCTGGAGAAGATTTATCACTCAAAATAACTTTTGTGGGGTAAAAAGATCCCAGTTTTACAAAATCACCATAGAAGGATGCTGTATGAGATTGTTCACTTAAAATAACTGTTATGCGGTGAAAACTGTTCCATGTCTGTATGTGTTTAAATCGACCCCAGTTTCTTGGATTCTAATCCATATTGGACGGGATCATTTCGTAAGTGACTTCGGCAGCCATGTCGACATATGCTGAAAATAGTATGGGAAGCAAATGCGGACGCTTCAATTCTCGCATCATCATCCAAAAAGCGCCTTTCGATTAATGAAATTATGGATACAAAGGTCACAATTCTCATGAACCAACAAGGCGAAAAAAGTTCCTATTTGAATTTAGTTGCAAATCTCCTTGCAGGACGCATGAAGGAATCAAACAAAACTTGACATCACTGTTCTTAGGACAGTCCCACACGCGCCCCGTACCTTTTCTTCAGTAGCCAACCAAGATTTCGACATGCTAACAGTATCAGTTGTAACTTGATTAAAAGTCCGCCTAGCCACCCCCCCCCCCCCCATGTTAAATATCGCCTGAGCAACGAAGCGCGTGTTCTCATCATAATACCTTCTGGCTGGACGTGATGTAACTTTAACGTATTTTGGGTTAGTTGGACGGGTTAGTTCGACGTTAGATTCCCCAAATAGAGTAGATCACTTTTCATTCACAAGTCAGAAAGCATGCCGAGGAAGATCAGGACAGGCATGCTTCGTGCAGAGTGGCATGCTTCGCTGCAGAGGACACGGGTGAGGAGTATTGTCTGGATTTATTTCACCGGCGCAACCGGTGTGTTGGGAAATGAACAGGCGGACAGGCTGACTGGCTCCGCACAACTTGGTGGAAAACTGATACATAATAAGCAGACGTGGTTAGTGCCTTGTGGGAAAGCGTGCACAATTCGCAGGAGAAGATGGATCACAACCGTCTGGTGAGATTGATGCAGGGAGAAGTGACGAGAGGTTCTGGCTGATGCTCGAGGCTGAGAGGAAAGGCAAGACGGACGTTTAATCAGAATGCTACTGGCACCATTAGTATCGGAACTCTTCGCTGGCTGCTGAAGATGGGGACGGAGTGCTTTTGGGATCGCCCCGAGTGCTGTGATGTGGGTTCTTGAAAAAAAATCAAATCAAATTGCAAGTTTGTTGGGTTGGTAGACTTTCCTAAAGGTTACGGGTGTGTCCTGCTCTGTTGTTTGGTTTCTGCGATTTCTTGCATTTACGTTTTTTTTTTCAGAAAGAGAATGCCTGTGACATAGGTTGCAGAAATCTCTGAGAGGGTTGTGTTAGACCCAGTTTCTCCATGTTTTTGGAGTGTTAAAAGCGCTGGCGTGCTGAAATATAAAATGCGACATCAACGCCATTGCGGAACACCACCGTAACCATGTGCGAAGGTGACGGGGCTTAGGTACTACCAATCAGAAGTGAGCTAGTGTGTATAACAACGGAGTCTAGGAAGACTAAAGTCGAACTAACCATATTTTGGCTAATGTGTGGTCGTAAACACCAGAACTCAATGGCACCCTTCTTCCTATAGTTCATTCTGTGTGACGTTAGTATTCCTGTCTGCCTTCTCTCTCGTGTGCTATCAGTTTTGACACAGACGATGTCCCATGCCATGTCGTCAAACTGTCTAGTAAAGTTTTTCTCGATTTCCCTCCGCTTCTTTTGCCCTTTAACTTTCCCACCGTCACAATGTACTCCAGTTGTCTCCTTCTCCAGACATGACCAAAGAATGTAGATTGTCTCCCTCTGATCGTTTGCAATCAGTTCTATTCTCACTCAGTGTACTTGACCCAGCCGTAAGCAGTCTATCACACAAGTCACGACGTTTTGAAACCTTCTACTTAAACCTGTTTACTTATTTGCTGGAATGACAAACATGCATCACAATTCTGTATTTTGATTGGCCGAAGAATTTCTATAAGTTTCATCCCTTAACTAATCAAGAAACAGGCAACAGAACATTGCTCCTCTTTGTTGCAGATCAGAAAATATCATTATCTCGAAACTGTGTTCGTCTGCACCACGATGTCACATGCTTGAAATTCATGACAGTCTCAATAACCATATTGTCAGAATACAAGATAGTGGCAAAGTTATTGAAATTTCTATAAAACTTTTGAGGTTTGCATTAAATGTGCTCTAGGAGCTAAGATTTCCATCCTGATTTCATCTCTAAATTGTATAACCAAACTACCAAACAACCAACCAACCAGTCATTCAGTTTGCCCGTGCAGTCAGCCCATCAGCTAACCATGATACCTATCATCAATGAATCACTCATCCAGTTAACCAGCAAACTTTCTGGCCGATCAACAAACCAGACATCAGATCAAGAGACTAGCCAGCATTCTAGTCAACCAACCAACCAACAAACCCTCCGTTGAAATAAGCGACAAGCCAGTCAACAAAGTATATAGCCAGCCAGCCAAGCAGTCAACTAGTCAACACATCATTCAAACAATGAACCATCTAGCCAACCAAACAGCCAGCCAAGCAGCCACCCTAAAAGCAAGCAGCCAACCAACCAAACAGCCAGCCACCCAGCTACTTAAACAGCCAATCAACCAAATAGCCAGCTACCCAACCAGCTAACGAAGCAGTCAACCACTCGACTAATCAAATAACCAGCCAACCAAACAATTAACCATCCAGCTATCCAACCAGCCAACCCGCTAGCTAGCAAACAAGTTAACTAGTCAGCTACTTAGCCAACTCAACCAGCCAGCTAACCAGATAACCAACCAGCCAGCTAACCAGGTAACCAACCAGCAACCGGCCAACCAACTAGTCAACTTTATCAAACAGTCAAGCAACCAGCAAACCAAATAACCAGCAAACCATCTCGCCAATCAACAAGTCAATCAACGAACCACATCTCGAAAAAATGGCTTACTCCTTAGCCAGCAGGTCATCAATGAGATGGTTATAGTGATCAATGCCCGCTTGGTTTATGTTGTCTCTTGTCCCATTTGGCATTATTCGAGTCCAGGCGATGGAGAAACGGTAGAAATTAACCTGTAGGTTAATATTGTGAGAACGTTAAAATTACTAGACCAACTTGAGCGCCATATCCTTTCCCCAAGAAGGACGGGTGGGGCAGTACGGGTTGTGGGGGGGGGGAGGGGGGCAGCTGTAAGGATGAAACGTTGAGTCTGTTGGAATTGGGGTGGGGGATGGTATAGTAACTTTTAGACGCAGTTAGGGACATTGAATCAAAATAAAACAATGATGGAAGGACAACAATGTTTTAGTTTCCCCACACTGTTGTCACTGTCTGCAAGTGGGACCTAAGTTGAAATTTCGTAAGTAGTAATCACTCAGTTTTTTTTTTTTAAAGAATTTTTAAAAAGGGTCTTTATGTACCAAAGACTGGCTAGTCTTCTTCTTCTTTTTCTTTTTCTTCTTCTTCTTCTTCTTCTTCTTCTTCTTCTTCTTCTTCTTCTTCTTCTTCTTCTTCTTCTTCTTCAACCAGACAAAAGTTGCAAACATTAGTACTGCACAAGCCGACACTCGAGCTCTATATTGATAAATTACCTATTGTTAATGTATCCGAACACACAACTTTAGGCCTTACAATTGACAACCATTTAACCTGGAATTCTCATGTTTTTGTCATAACTAAGAAAATAGCACAAAAAGTTTATCAGCTTGCAAAAATTCAGCACTTTCTAGACGAAGATGCAAGAAAAGTATTTTACGCGTTCTTACATCGATAAAACACATGTCGACTATTGTTTCCACAGTTTGGGATGGTTGCGCCAAATCCAATGTTAAAAGACTAAGTTCTCTTCAAAATCGTGCTTTATGCCTGGTTTCAGATAATAAACATATCGTAAAAAATAATCTCTATAACCATCTAAGACTATTGCCATTTAGCAAACGTTTAATTTTTAACAAGGCCAAATTTATTCATAAAATTTTATCTCAAAATACTCCAAACTACCTTTTCCGTTTAATTAAATCAAATCCTATAAATAGCAAGTGACTAAATTTATTAAATTTACCTAAACCTAGAATAGATTTATATAAAACAAGTTTAGCGTACTCCGCTGCTCATTTGTGGAACCAACTTCCAGTAGACCTAAAAAATTCTAAAAGTCCCTATTCATTTAACCGTAAACTTTTTCAATTCATTCTTACAAGCGATTATATGCCACCTTGCATTATCAATTTATTGTTAAACAAGGTGTGTATGATATGTATGTTTATGCGCGCGTGTGTGCGTGATATGTATGTATGTCCAGGATGTTTGCGCGCGCTTGTGTGCGTGATATGTATGGGTGTGCAGGCGTGTTTGTATACATATGACTCTAAGTATGTTGTTTGTCTGCGTGTGTGTCTGCGAATGAATGCGTCTGTGTCCTTATGTATGTGTGCGAATGTGTGTGTTCGCGCGTATGTCCACGTGTATGTTTCAGTGTGAATTGGTCTGTGTGTGTTTCTGTGTGTTTAAGTGTGCCTCTTTGCTGTGTATGTGTGTCTGCGTGCGTGTGTGTGTGTGCGCGATTGGATACATGTAGCTGTGTATATGTGTCTGTGTGTGTCTCTCTGTGTTTGTTTGCATGTGTATGTGTCTCGGGTTTTTTTTATATTTTTTTTTTTTTTTTTTGCATATTTGATGTGACTGTGTGTATATCTTCGTTTGTGTCTGTGTGTGTCCCCGTATGTGTTTGTCTTCATGTTTGCCTGTGTATGTTTATGTGGTTTGTCTGCGGGTGTGTCTATGAGGCTGTATGTATGTATCTCTGTGTGTGGGTGTCTGTATGTCTGTCTGCGTGAGTGTATGTATCAGCATGTGTCTGTATGTCTGTGCATGTCTATGTGTGTTTTCTCTGTGTGTATTGTGTGTGCCCCTTTGTTGTCTGTATGATGTCCGTCTGCATGTCAGAAGTATATGTCTGTGCGTGCTGAATATATGTGTCTGCGTGTGTATTTCTATATGTTTGTATGTGTATGCACTTCTGCGTGTTTGTCTCTGTGAGTGTCAGTATGGGTTTGTCTGCCTGTTTGTCTGTGTGTGTGTGTGTGTGTTTGACTGCGTGTGTGTCTATGTGGCTGTATGTATATGTCCGCATGTTTGTCTGCGTATGTGTGTGTGTGTGGTGTGTGTGTCAGTGTGTGAGCACGAATGTAAATATGTGTGCTGTGTGTGTTTATATGTAAGTGTCTGCGTGTGTTTCTGTATTTGTCTGAGTGTGTGTGTCTCTGTGGGAGTGTCCGTGTGTGCATGTGTGTGTCTCCATGCATGCCTGTATTTATGACTGTATGTTTGTATGTGTGTATGCCTGTATTATGTATGTATGAATGTATGTATGTTTGTGTGTATGTATGCATGTGTATATGTGTGTATGCATGTTTTTTGTATGTATGTGTGTAGGTATGTATGCCTGTATGTGTGTATGTATGCAATGTATGCATGTATGTGTATGTAAGTGAGTGGGTGAGCGTGTGTATGTGGGTGTATGTATGCACGCGCGGGTTTTTGTATGCACTTTACAACTCATGCTTTTGTGTTCTTTTATAATATTCATAATATGCATATCATCATATGATCATAACATGCTTCATTAGTAAAATACAATTGCTGTGTAAAAGATGGTTGACTGGAAGGGCCGAATGTAAGACGGGCCTGCGTGCCCAATTTGTGACCCTTTGAAAATAAAGTTCGTTCGTTCGTTCGTTCGTTCGTTCGTTCGTTCTTCTTCTTCTTCTTCTTCTTCTTCTTCTTCTTCTTCTTCTTCTTCTTCTTCTTCTTCTTCTTCTTCTTCTTCTTCTTCTTCTTCTTCTTCTTCTTCTTCTTCTTTCGTTCGCTTGAAATAGATTATCTATTTCTGCAATGTTGTCTCTAGTATGAACGTTACTGTCATTTGTGATTGGCTATTGTTTAAATAGGTAGCTACCTTAGCATGTCAATAGAACTGAAAGAGGAAGTCCCTCAAACAAGTTAAGTGTATCGTGGTGGGGGGGGGGGGGGGGTTCAATGCTAAGACTAACAGAGAAAAAAACATTTGCAAGCTTAATAAAAAAAATTAATTTAAAGAGATAGATAGATAGATAGATAGATAGATAGAGAGAGAGAGAGAGAGAGAGAGAGAGAGAGAGAGAGAGAGAGAGAGAGAGCATCTCTATGTACAGGATTGTGAAGTGAAAGAAAGCCATACGTGCGTCTATATGGTCAGGATGTATATTAAAACAATGTAAATGGTAAGGATTGCTGTATGAGAAGAAACAATTCCCCTGATTACTAGACAAGGATTGTACAGCGAAAACAATAGACAGGGAAACAAAAAACCATCCGCAATATTCATGCCATTTTAGTTAGTTAGTTAGTTAGTTAGTTGGGTTATCGTCATTGCACTCCGGACATGTCCATAGGTGCTCAGATCCTCCCCTCAGTATGAACCCCAACGTCCGATGGCTAATAGTACCAGTTCTATGTTGATTAACAAGTCTTCTGACGTGTCCCGTGTGCGACTCGTTTTTTGCTGTGCCGATATTAATTCATGCCATTTTGTTTTAATGTAATTACTAGTTTGTGTGTGTGTGTGTTTTTTTTTTCTTTTTTTCTGAGGTTTTTGAACATCCGATCAACATTATGGCACCCTGGCTTAACACATAAGTACTCGGCTCTTTTTCCAACTCGAGTCTGAGTAGCAGAATCAATCGCAGCAATTTTGTCTGTTGTGGTTTTTCTAGGCACATTTTGCGTTAAATAGTTCACCATTGCCTACTGAACGGTCAGCTCCCGATACCACTGTCGAAACCAACGCAAAACGGTCTGCTGCCAAATCGCATGTAGTTGGGATCGAACCCGCTACCTAGGTATTACGAAGCGCGTCCCCAAAGCCTAGCCACTGACGCCGACATTAAAGAAAGCAGCAGAGTGCAACAGTTAGAAACGGCCATCTGGATTTAAATATCTGGGAAAAACATTCATCGACAACGGTAAACTAAACAAAGAAGCTACAAGTAACGCTAAACAAATACTGGGCCAGTTGTTTCCTCTCACAACAAAAGACAGTCTCCATAAGATAAAGTAACATCAAATACAAACAGATTGTTTATAATGTTACCAGTGTCAGAGTTCACGAAGAACAATAGAGTCATGAACATTAGTAACCACAAAATTAAAATTAATTATATGCCCTAGAACCGGGCACAATCGACTAACACTAAATTTAGGATTAATGAATCAGCTAAATGTGCATGTGGATTGGCACCTGAGACAACAGATCATGCTCAAGAATGTCCCAAATACAAAATATGATTTTTAAAAACTGTTGGCCAAGAGAGAAATCGTTTCAAGTGGTGAGACTTGACGGGTCGCTTAGCAAATTTAAAAAGATAGTGAAGTTCATATCAGAGACAGAAGAATTGCAGATATATATAATCTGTTTCAAGTGAACAAAAGAATAACAAACTGAAATGCTGCAGAAGCTACCAGAAGAGACACACTCAGCAATGAGGGCGTACAAATAATGTCCGCAAGGAAACATTTGTAAATTACGTGCAAAAGACAGCAAATACTGTTTGCTCACTAAGAAAACATGTAATGTGTTGCCATTATCTTAGAACAACAGTTCTCAACACGTGGGTCGTGACCGTTTTGGGAGTCTAATCCTAACCCTTTCACACGGGTCGCCTATGACCATTGGAAAACAAAAATTCACTGAAGTTATGAAGTACCGTCGGCTCTGCGGCTAAGTCGATGCGAGCGCTTCGTAATGCTGGGATGCCGGTTTCGATCCCAGCTGCGGACCATGCGCCTTGCGTTGGTTTCACAGTGGTATCAAAGAAGCCGACCGTCCAGGGAGCAATGGCAAACTACTGGACTTTAATTTACCTAGAAAAAACACACATAACAGCCAGGGGCTGTTAGGGTTGGTTCTGCAACTTCCTGTAAAGGATACGCAACTAGCCTTTTTCTCGGCTCTGTGGCTAAGTCAATGCGAACGCTTCGTAATGCTAGGTTCGATCCTAGCTGCGGGCCATGTGCCTTGCGTTGGTTTCAACAGTGGTAACAAGAAAGCCGACCGTCCAGGAAGCAATGGCAAACTACTGGACGTAAATTTGTCTAGAAAAACCAAACAACAGCCAGTAGCTGTTGGGGCTGGTTCTGCAACGTCCTGTAAAGGATACGCAACTAACGTTTAGGAAGTACCAACAAAAATAATTATAATGGTTGGGGGTCACCACAACATGAGGAACTGTATTAAAGGATCTAGGCATTAGGAAGTTGAGAATCACTGGGTTTCTGTGACTTGGGCCTGGGTGATTCTCAACTGAACGGCGGCACTTTGTGTCACCGGATGTTTATCTCTTGTTCTGCTGTCCTGTTGGCGTTTACTGTCATCAACACCCTAAAGTGAAGAGAAAATGAAGAAGAAGAAGCAGAAAGAAGGAACTACATGTCATTAATTTTACGAACCCCCAAGTTCTCCAGTAACTTGACATCCTCCTGGTAGAGGCGGTAGCTGTCGCATGCAACGTCTCCGGTTTGGTTACCTGTGATGTGTTTATTGTGAGCGAACGTGTCCCAGATACTGAGGCCCTTTCCTGGGTAGAATCACAACACTCAGTCAGATTTGAATCACAACACTCAATCAGATTTGAATCACAACACTCGATCAGATTTAAATCGCAACAGTCAGTCAGATTTGAATCACAACACTCAATCAGATTTGAATCACAACACTTGATCATATTTGAATCACAACACTCAGTCAGATTTGAATCACAACCCTAAATTAGATTTGAATCACAACACTCAATCAGATTTGCTAACAAAATATTTCTGCCCTGACAGTGCTCATATTCTAGAATAGACAGGATAGAAAGCAAATTCAGTTTCTTCTTCTTTTTGTCCTTCTGCTTTTGCATCACGTTGAAATTACAGCTACGTGATATACTACCTTTTTTTTCCCTACCTTTGTCATTCTACTTTTGCAATAAAGCGTTGGAGAAAGAATTTAGATATAGTTTGCTGTCTTTTGCTAGTTGCGCAGCTAAATATCATAAAGCGTTTCTACAATGTTCCATTTACTCACTCCACCCATGTGTTTCTTGGCTGACCTCTTGTTTTGTAGCCTGCTTTTCTCATGTAGAGCGCTTCAGCTGCTGGTCGATGCTGTTCCATTCTAACGAGATGACCGAACCATTTAATTCTCTGACTTTCTGTGACAACATTCCCGGTGACAATGGCTTATAATGTTCTTCGTGTGCTAGCTCTGTCCCTTCTTGTTTTCCCGGCGCATTTCTGATAGATCTCATCTCACACGTTGTACGTCCGAGTCCTCTTCCCAGTGTATCAGTCGTACTCCCACACACAAAACGTACGGAATTTCTCTTTCTTTAAGATGTATTACCGTTACATGTAATTTCAAATATAGTTTTACATTTTTATTGCTGTTGCAGTTTATCAAATTGTTATTATAATTTTTTGTATTATTATTAAATACTTACACAAGGCTAGTCTATTTGACCACCCCTTCCCTATTGAAAATGTGCAAGAAGACTGCCCCTCCCCCCCCCCCCCCCATATTTTCGTTGCGTTAGCGGTCTTCCAAATATTCTTTAACTAATGGCTTTGTGCGTTCAGAATTCAAATCTTCGGTTATGGTATCCGCTCAGTCTTCATTTCATTTTTGTCATTTGTACTAGAAATGTTCGTTTTAAATGGTAATTTCTGTATTCATTTTAATATGCTTTTTCTTGCGTGTGTGATGATCGGCAATCATAAAAAGAAGAAGAAAAATAGAAGGGCAGACCAGACATTATAAAAATTTAAAGTTATGCTTACATAACAACTCCGCTAAGACCGGTCCCAAGCCCGGCTGTAAAAGGAGGAGGATCTGGCTGAACCTGAGTGCTTCATGCGTCTCCGGAAGTAGTGGGTAACCGTGAATCAGCCTGACGGCCTGCATGGAGGCCGCAAGGAGGCAGCCCCTCCACCATGCAAAGGCACAACAGGCCAATCACCTGTTTGCCTTAAACCACGATTACAAGTAACTACAGAGAGAAAACCGGACGGATCTTAACGGCGACGAACTGGCAGGCTTACGGACTATACGATTTATGGAACATGGAATATAAGAGGCATTAACGGAAAGGAAAACGAGTTAGTAGGGGAGATAAGGAAAGCAAAATTAGGAGTCTTGGCTCTGACTGAAACCAAAAAAAGTGGCAAGGAAATCACAGATCACGATGGAAGTATGCTGCTCTACAGTGGTGTCCCTATGACGGAGAGAGCCAAGGGAGGTGTTGGCTGTTATTGTGGCCAGGAATCAAGTTTAGTAACATCAAGGGATGGAAAAATTCATCTCAGAGCGAATAATGGTGTTAGATCTGAAAGAAGAAGATAAAATTGTCAATTTTGTCATTGTGTGTACGGGCCAAATGAAGATGAGCGAGTAGATGTTAAAGAAGAATTCTTTGAACTGCTCCAAAGGACCATAGATGACTGTCACGAGAAATTATCCTCCTAGGAGATCTAAATGCCAGAGTAGGAAATGATCACTCTAGATGGGCGGAGTGATCGGGAGATATGGTGAAGATGTTTTGAAATGATAATGGCAAGCGACTTCTCAGATTCTGCAGGGAACAGAACCTTGTCATTACAAACACAAAATTCCCCCACAAGCGTATACATGCATACACAAGAGGTGTGAACCTTCAAAGAATGAAAAATCCATCATTGACTACGCCCATAGTTAGGAAAAGTTCATTCAAGTTTGTGAGAGATGCCAGAGTCATGAGAGGACCAGAGATTGGAAGTGACCAGTACTATCTGGTCACAATAAAGAGAACAACTGAAAGAAACTGGCTCCAACAAAGGCAACACCCCCGACAACCATGCAAGAAACCAAGCAACCAAGAAGGGATGAGGATTTAAAGCATACAAGCTAAGAGAGCCAGATATTAAGGCTATAATACCAGGAGCTTATAGTGAAAGCAATAGGAACTGAAGAAGAATCATCAGAGGACACTGAAACCCTCTGGTGCAGATTCAAGAATATCCTCACAGCAGCTGCAGTAGAAGCATGTGGTGAAGTCCCAAGTGGAAGGCAGGGACTCAAGGACACCTTGGTGGGACAGAAGAAGTCAAATTGAAAATAGGAGAAAAGAAAAGGGCATGGAAGCAATACCTGGCAGCCAGGAACACAGCTGAAAGAAATAGAAAAAATATAAACAATGTGACACTCAGAACAGAGACCAAAAATATTGTGCTCTTAAAGCAAAACAGAAATCATGGGATGAGTTTGGGTTGGAGAAAAGTTGGAAAAGAATGCAAGAGAAAAACCAAAAAATGTTCTACAAGACCCTTAAGAACATGAGGAAGGAGAAAGAGTGCCCACCACTTAAATTCATAAAAGACAAGGAAGGGGCTCTGCTTACTTCTACAAATGATATCATGGACAGATGGAAAGAATACTTCTCAGAGCTCCTCGGCGTTGAGGGAAGTCATGAACCCAGAAATAATGGACCTCACTGCTGAGAAGGAATTCAATCATGGGGGAAAGATAACATTCAGGATGGAAGAATTTGAAAGGCAGCTATTGAGAAGATTAAGCTGGGAAAAGCAGCAGGTCATGATGAGTGTGGTATAAACACCAGAGATGGTCAAATATATATGGGAGTCAAAAAGTGAGCGCCTTCTACTGAAGGTTCTCCAGGCAGGCCTGGTGTAGCAAAAACTATACCTACAAACGATTGGGGAGATTGCCATCATTATACCTATATTTTAAAAAAGGTGATAACAGACAATGTGAAAAACCACACAGAGGCATATCCCTCCTCAGCGTTCCCGGTAAAAGTTACTCTAGAATTCTTGAGCAGAGACTTAGAAGTCTGGTAGAGCCACAGCTGGACGAGGCCCAATGCGGCTTCAGAAGCAAACCGAAAGTACTCAAGACCTTATCTTCACACTGAGACAGATGAGTGAAAAAGCCCTGGAATATAAGAGTGAGATGCACTTATGTTTTTTGGATCTGGAAAAGGCATTTGACAAGGTACCCTGGAACAAGCTCTGGGACTGCTTGGCAGGGAAAAAAACATCCTAGCACCCCTGATCAGTGCAATACAGAGTTTCTACAAAAAAGTGCAGAAATTTATGTAAGAACAGCAGACCAAAAGTCAGGAAGAATTCAAGACTGCCAGCGGTGTTAGACAAGGTGATATTCTCTCACCTTACCTCTTCATTCTTATGATGGATGATGTCATCAAGACCTGTAAGGAGAAGACAAAGAAGTACTCTGTAGGGGGTACTGGAAGATGAGACCAGTCTGTATATATCAGAGCTGGCTTTTGCAGACGATGGTGGCCCTGATAGCTAAATCAGAGGCACACCTTCAGTCCAACTTACTTGTCTGGAAGGAAGAACTTGAAAAAAGAAAGGGATGACCATCAGTGTCTCTAAAAACTAAAACCATGGTGATCTCAAAGAGAGGAGAAGAAACACACCAGATCATGATGGGACAGTATGCGTTGTAGCAGGTATACCAATTTCAAATACCTTGGAGTTGTATTAGACCAAAAGGGAGGCATTAAGACTGAGCTGGCCTACACACACACGTAAAAAAAAGATGCTGGGAGACTCTTCCAGGCCATAAACCGAGGGTTTCTCTTAGCAAAAGAGAAATTGGCAAGAGGGACGAAAATGGCTGGTTTACCCGCTCTACCTATGTACCAGTCCTGACCTATGGGTTGTGAGTCATGGGCAATGACAACAGCTCACAGAAGCCAGCTGCAGGCCTCGGAAATGAGATACCTGAGAAAGGTGGTCCAAGTGACAAGAAGGGACAAAGTCCGCAATCAGACAATACGTCAAGATCTTGATACCAGCCCTTAGTAAACCCGAGTAGATCAGTCACAGTTACGATGTTTTTACGATGTTTTTTTGGACATGTATTGCAGAATGGGAGGGGGGAAAACCGGCCACCATGGCAAGCATGGGAGGCTAAGAACCAGGGAACCAGACCTCCGGGACGACCCAGGGGTGCGCTGGGAAGACAACATCCGACAGTCCCTAAATGACAAGAGGACTGTTAATGGAACAAAGCCAGAAAGAAAACTGCTGATAGAGACGTCTGGCGATCTCTCTGGTAAACCTCTACACCCCAAGGTAGAAGAGGAGCGACTAAGTAAGTAAGTAAGTAAGCTTACATAACATAACCCTTGATCCATCAGGGTCGTGGAGGTGTATTGATGGAATCAGTAGCACATACAACCCGCCATCTTTCTGTGTTCTCCGCTTGATGAATACGTGTATGATAACTTAGTCATGTCCATTTCTCGATGTTATCATTCCAGATTCTTCTTTGCCCTCTTCTTCTTCGACTACCCCCTAATGTTCCTTGGAGTACAGTCTTTGCAATCGGATCATGTCTCACCAGGAACCCAGACCTAGCTAGCTTCCGACGTTTCACCTCTGCCAAGAATGATGTCCCGCAAATTTGAAAATTTTGACTCTTACATATTTATTAGTTTGTGTATGTGTTCTAAATAACATAATAAATGCAACTCTAGCATTTACATTCGAAATCCTGAATCTGCCTTTCCACTTCCACAGTGAGAGTCCAACTCTCACATGCGTATAAGAAAATACTTGAAAGCTAAAGTTACCGTCCCGGGAATCGAAGCCTGCCACCTCCAAATGGCGTGTGCGCCTTGCTATAGAAACAATTGTACTAAGAACATGACCAACTAGGCACCCCTCCTCCAAAAAAGGTGTCTTCATTGGTCATGCCTATCGTACAACTTGAAATCACAACTATGATGAAAAACGACAAGCGAAGCTTATGTTGCGACTGGTGCAGTAGGTGTCCAGCGAAGGTTCGATCACATACTGTGCTCACCAATACTACTACAACCCCACCAATACTATTCTTCTATTACTACTACCACTACAATTATACTACTAGTATTACTTCTTCTTCTTCTTCTTCTTCTTCTTCTTCTTCTTCTTCTTCTTCTTCTTCTTCTTCTTCTTCTTCTTTTCCCCTTTCTTCTTCTTCTTCTTCTTCTTCTTCTCTTCCTTCTCTTTCTTCTTCTCTTCTTCTTTCTTCTTCTTCTTCTTCTTCTTCTTTCTTTTCTTCTTCTCTTCTTGCTTTTCTTCTCTTCTTCTTCTTCTTTCTTCTTCTTCTTCTCTTCTTCTTCTTTCTTCTGTCTTCTTTCTTCTGCTTCTCCTTCTTCTTCTTCTGCTTCTTTCTTCTCTCGTCTTCTTCTTCTTCTTCTTCTTCTTCTTCTTCTTCTTCTTCTTCTTCTTCTTCTTCTTCTTTCTTCTTCTTCTTCTTCTTCTTCTTCTTCTTCTTCTTCTTCTTCTTCTTCTTCTTCTTCTTCTTCTTCTTCTTCTTCTTCTTCTTCTTCTTCTTCTTCTTCTCTTCTTCTTTTCTTCTTCTTCTTCTTCTTCTCTTCTTCTTCTTCTTCTTCTTCTTCTTCTTCTTCTTTCTTCTTCTTCTTCTTCTTCTTCTTCTTCTTCTTTCTTCTTCTTCTTCTTCTGCTTCTTCTTTCTTCGTCTTCTTCTTCTTTTCTTCTTACTTGTGTCGACGGACATGTCTACAAACCCTTTTTTGGGGGGTTTTGTTTTGCTGTTATAGTTTTTCTAGGCAAATTTACGTCCAGTAGTTTGCCATTATCCTGATATGGTGTCCTTATGAGGCCTTGTATCATCCATTCTGAGACATACTGGAAGTCTCTATACCATTGTCGAACAACGCAGAGTAGTTTGCTACCAAATCGCCTGCAGGTGGGATTGAACATGGTACCCCGGCGTTTTGAAGCTGGTTCAGAACACTTAAGCCACAGACGCTGACACTAACCAGTGTACTAAGGCTGTATATGTGAACGTTGCAGACATCACAAAGGAGACAAACATGTTCTCACCATCATCACGCCATCCGCCTTCAGTCTGATAGTCAGAAGTGGCCGTACCCCACAGAAAGTTGCTAGGGAAAAGACCCTTATAGAACTCGTCACGTTCTTTGGGGACTGAAACAGTCAGTAGATGAAACAGACATATAAACATGTTAGATAGTTAGTTAATTAGTTAGTTAGTTGGTTAGTTAGTTAGTTGGTTGGTTAGTTAGTTAGTTAGTTAGTTAGTTAGTTAGTTAGTTAGTTAGTTAGTTAGTTAGTTAGTTAGTTAGTTAGTTAGTTAGTTAGTTAGTTAGTTAGTTAGTTAGTTAGTTTAATTAGTTAGTTAGTTATTTAGTTAGTTAGCTAGTTAGTTGGTTGGTTAATTGGTTAGTTGGTTAGTTGGTTGGTTGGTTAGTTAGTTGGTTAGCTGGTTAGTTAATTAGTTAGTTAACTAGTTAGTTATCTAGTTAGTTAGTTGGTAGGTTTAGTTACTTGATTAATTGGTTACTTACTTAGATGGTTAGTTGGTTAGTTAATTAGTCAGTTTCCTCTTGAGGCTTAGGCGGCGCATAGGGCAGAGGTCATAGCTCTCCATGTCTGGCGGTTCGTTGTCACCTGTTTTAGGTCTTGAATGCTCATTAGGCCCATGGTTAGGCCTTCCTTAATATTGGTTCTACGCATGGTCTCTCTAGGTCTTTCCCGTTTTCGTTTCCCTTCCGGTGTCCTTATGAGGCTTTGTCTTATCCATTCTGAGACATACTGAAAGTCTTAATACAACATAAAATGTGATCTGAAAGCTTAACGGAAGGAATGCGAAAAGACGCGCATAAATACAGATACACATTTCGACCAAAGTCTTTATCAACGGAGTACTAAATACAAGGAGCCGACGTGGTGTAACAGCTAAAAGATCGCCTGAGAATCCGAAATCCGAGGGTTCAAGTCCTGATAGAGCCGGACTTTTTAAAATGACCTTGGCTCCAAGGTCGACTCAGCCTCAAATAGTGCTTTTAAACAACCAAGGTCAACATGAAACTAAGAAAAAATTAATGGGGAAAATATGAACACAAAGGGCAGATAGACGACCGGTTCGCCTGGCTCGCCGGTAGACGAGTTCGTCACTGATCAGAACAGTATTTGTGTCGGTCTCCTTTGATCGCATTACCGCTGCAGGAGTCGTTTTCAGGACTTCAGGTAGCGTTCAATGCTAAACCATTTTATATAGCAGGAAAAAAACTGGCCACAATTATAACCTAAAGCTCCCCATTAAGGATGCTGGTTGACCGTGACAGTTTTGGTTTTCGAGCAAAGCAACAAAGCAACAAAGCAACATGAAGGGTTAAATTACACAATTAAGTAACACAGAAAGCGTTTTTTAAAAAGGTGGGTGAGTCGGAAAAAAGGGGGCGGGGGTGATACATGTGTGTGGGTCATAAGACGAAAAAAAAAAAAGATAATGTATCGATCCCAAGGATACAAATTCAGGAATGGCTACACACATGGGCAAAATTGCACGTTTTTATCGATTCATGGCTCCCAAACATGACAAGAGGTACAAGAATATTCGTGTCACTTTATCTGATAACGATTCGTCCTGTGTCTATGTGTGTGCCTGTGTGTGTTGTGAAGAAAAGATAGACAAAATCAAAGGCAGTGAAATGAATTAAACCATTGTTAGGTAATTCATATGGCAAAAACTCATTAGATATTCGTCATTTTTAATAGTCGATTCTCCCTCACCACACGAACGGGATAACGACTAAAATAGGACTTAAGGACTTTATCGCATTTCCGTTGTCTATAACAACAATTCATTAGTATATTATATTATCATCGTCATCACGTGCTTTGCCAGTTGACGTAGGCGTTCATGCATCTCCGCAGATCTTGGTCTTGGGTGTTTTAGATAAATTCCAATGATAATATTCCTCCATGCCGCTGTCTTAAGCCCTCCACCATCATTTCCGTTGGTCTGCCTCTGCCTCTCCTATCAGAAAATAATGCTAGCATGTTATACCTAGTTAAAATCAAGGTCAATCGCTGTGATTCTTGTTTATTGTTTACTCAACGGATCAACATCATTGCACACGGATGTAACCATAAGCGCTCCGTTCTACTTCTAACTCAAGTCTGAGTCTGAAGAAGCTCAGTGCATGAACTCTGTTTCACCGGCAATGATCGTGAAATACTTTGGGTAGATTTTTAACTCCAAAGTTTGCTCGGACAGTGCCGCTAGGCTACTCTTTTTCGATTTCCAACTGTTAAAGGATTTTATACGTGCGCAGTAATACACGTGGGTGTCTGATCTTACTGTCCAGAGACCGGGGGAAATTACTAGAAGTACTACTCTTTTCGATTTCCAACTGCTAAAGGATTTTATACGTGCGCAGTAATACACATGGGTGTCTGATCTTACTGTCCAGAGACCGGGGGAAATTACTAGAAGTCCCATGAAAAAGTCCCGGCCTTCACCGAGGCTTGAACCCGGGACCTCCAGCACTTGAGGCGGACACTATACATAGAGACCACTCAACCTCCTGTGATTCTAGTTATTTACAAACTACTTACAGGCTCTGAAGTTGACAAGCTGGTCATCAAAGCGCCTTTTTGCAACCAGCATACGGTAAAACGTGGCAGAGGAACGTGGATAGCGGGTTCTGCCTGGTGTACCCATATCCACAAAGTAAAGACCCGTCTTAGTGGTGTATCCTTGGTCCCAGGAAAATCCATCAACCAGGGACTGCACGAAATATCCTCTAACGTCACTTTCTGCAGTGATAGCTGGAAAAAGGGGGGGGGGGGGGGGGGGGAGGCACTGTATTACATTGGTGATGGAAAGTTATAACTAAACAAGAAGCATACTTGGTTATATTTGCAATAAACAGGCGGACAATTGTAAATTAAAACAGGAGTGATTGAAATATGATTAATGGCAAGAACTGTTAAAATATCAATAAGACCTTCTTAAAGTTTCTGAAAAAAAAGAGGGTGTCCGTTTATTCATCATAGGAAATGGAACGTTTCAACCATACACTGGAAGAGAAACTGTGGCGATTGTTTACTAAAACCAACAACAAACTCTTTACGATTTTGATTTAGGTTCTAGCATGTTGGATGTGGACCAGTTCAAGATGCCCAAGTCATTGGTTTTGTCTTTAGAATATAAGTTCTCTATCTTCACACCCAAACCATTACAAGTTATAGTCTACGCCCAACAAGACTCTGTACTCCAAATTTCCAAGATAAGTCCCGTGTTACTGGACTATTTACCGCAGATATGCCAAATTCTCTTATCTGATCACGTTGTCTGCCGAGCACATCTCCTACACATTTTGAACCGTGATCACCATAAGTACACAAAATTCAAGATAGGCGTATCAGCCATGTGCACCTGTGGAAAGGTGCCCCAGACACAAAGCATGTACTCCAGGACTGCACCGAATTTGTCACATTAAGGCAAACCTTTTGCCAGAAAGAACAGTGGAACGTAAATTCTATGGACCACTGAATGAATTAGCAACAACAGTGAAATTTATACAAGAGACAAAATTGCCGATATAGACAACTTATTTCAGGCGAGCGAAAGAAGAAGAACGAACGAACGAACGAACTTTATTTTCAAAGGGTCACAAATTAGGCACGCAGGCCCGTCTTACATTCGGCCCTTCCAGTCAACCATCTTTCACACAGCACTTGTATTTTACTAATAAAGCATGTTATGATCATATGATGATATGCATATTATGAATATTATAAAAGAACACAAAAGCATGAGTTGTAAAGTGCATGCAAAAACCCGCGCGTGCATACACCCACATACACACGCTCACCCACTCACTTACACACACATACATGCATACATTGCATACATACACACATACAGGCATACATACATACACACTTACATACAAACAAACATGTATACACACATACAAACAGGCATACATACACACAAACATACATACAAAGATACAAACATACAGACATACTTACATACATACATTCATACATACATAATACAGGCATACACACATAAGAAGAAGAACCGTGATCAACTACCTTCCCATTTCGACCACAACAAGACCGCGGCTTTTTTTTTATCAACACAGACCCCAGCGACCAGCCAGGTTCACACTTGGTCGGTCTGTACTACAATGGGGTCAGAGGCTTTGAGTATTTGGCTTATTCTGGCTCCCACCCTTTCACGCCGATATTACTGGTGTTATTAAGCTAGACTCAAACAGACAGCTCAGTTACAATCTTCGTGCCTCACAAAACTTACAGAGCAGCACTTGTGGACTGTACGATATTTATATGATACTAATTAAATTCCCTTGGAAGGTCGTATGCACTGAGTTTTACTGCCAATTTCGTCTTCATATAAAAACACGTCAACGATCGAATCATTTGGCGCCTTTTTTCCCCACTAATCCATAAAGCAAGTCCGGACATGTCGAGTTTGGACTGGTTCTACAGACCCACCGTTGGTATATAAACTACGCAAGTGCTGGTCATCTTCCTACTACTTCCTGTCTTTTTTAGGGCGAAATTTTTCGTTATTTGAAGCCCTACTCTGGCTCTTGCCAGGGGCCGCAATATAGCCTGGCCATAAATATGGCCTAAAGGCTGAACGCAGTTTCTGGGACCTCTCCATGGTGATCCTCACCCACATGGTGGCACATTGTGTCTTTGTGTGTTTATCTGTTGTGTGATGTCCTGGTGGGGTAGAAAGTCAGTCAGTCGGTCACCTTCTTTTTGGTCGCCACACTCAAATATGTCTACGTGCCGGCCAGTTGGGTGTACATGACTACAAGCGACGAACTGGCTGAATCCGGGGCTTAAAAGTTGTTTTGGTCTCATTTGACATTAGAATTAGACTTTTAGTTTAGTTTTAGTTTCATTATCTTTTTACTTCCACAAATTTTCTAGCGCTATGAAAACGGCTCTTGCCTTTTGTATTCATATTTAAATCTCTCTCTTTTTTCCATCATCTTATCTAAATTACTGCCCTTATAAGTGAATGACTCCACATCTAAAATGGTATATCATCAAGAGCAACCACATTACTTTTCGCCTGATTTGTTCTCATTATCTTTGTTTTCCCCTATGGGTTTTTAAACATTGGTGTGATCTCGTATAAAGTATATTTAATTTCTCTTGCATGTCATTCCGTGAGTGGGACAAAAGAGAAATACCATCAGCAAAGTCTAGATCATCAAGCTGTTTCGTAGGAGTCCATTGAATTCAATTTCTGGCATTAGCGGTTGCTGTCTTAAAAATACAGTCTATTATCAGTAAAAATAGAAAAGGCGACAAAAAATACATCTCTGTCACACATCTGTTTTTATCTCAAATGTCTCTGTTAGCTTTCACTTATTTTAACATATCAGTGTTATTTTACTTCTGTATCCAAGGTTAGTCTGAGAATACTTTCATAAAATTTCAGCTCAGAAGCTGTTTTTTCCCCACTTGCTTAACGACTGTGAGATAGTCCACAACTCACATCTGTATGTTGCTACATGGCAGATGTACGCTCTCTTAATGCACCATACACCCCTGGTGTTAATCGGATCCTTACTTGAATTAACAGAAGCTAGCACTTTTGCCTGCGGAAATTATTACAGATCCCACATAGACCTTCGATAGGACATCAAGCATCTTACCTTGTAAGACATTGTTGCTGTAGTCTCTGATATAGTCTATCCTGTCTTGATCTTGCAGTGTCCCACAAGTCTCCAGCCCATTTGCTGTCACATAAATGGCAGGATTGTTGTATGTTTTGGTCAGGTAAACTAGAAGATCCTTCAGACCGAATCCCATCAGACGTTTATCACTGTCTGGGTTTGTCTCCGGACGGTACTCCAATCTGTGTGAACAATGGCATACAGAGTGAATTGTGATGCAACTAAAAAAAACAGTAGGGGGGGGGGGGAAGGACATATTGGTTAGTTAGTGAGTTAATTAGTTAGTTGGGTTATCCACGGTCCATTCTATCTTTTTACAAGGCCATCCGTGTTGATAGAAAATTCCTGTTTTTGTGCAACTTCGGAAGGGCCGGTGTGTGTTCACTGTATTGAGTAGATTTATACACAAATTAAATTACAGTTTCATTTTTTGCAACACGTTTCATTATTATTATCGTGTCTATTAATTATCATTCTGACCATAAATTATTGTGCTGTTAGAAAATATAATAACAAAAGTAGTAATATATCTTCCTCTTTTTAAAGTCCATGCCATGTGGCGTTGGTAGTCTTGTCTATCCCAACCTTCTGTCTCGTGTAATTTAAATAAATTCTGAGACAGATATCTTCCATTCCTTGATTTCAGACTGTCCAGTATCTGTTCTCTCGGTCTTCCTCTGCCTCTCCTCCCCTCCAACTTTCCTACCGTTACCATGTACTCCAGTTTTCTCTTTCTTATCACATCACTAACAACTGAATAAATTATGGAATTGTGCAGATAGAATTACAAAGGTCAGATTTTTAAGAGCATGCATCTTTCCATTCAACATACGCCTGTTTACTAAACAAGCGGAACAGAGCATAAATGCATTTGAATATAAATGTTTACAGACAGTTCTAAGAATATCTTAGGGTAAAGTCAAATGCATCCATACTTCAAGAGCTGAATATTGAAGAGGGGTTGGCTAGTAAAGACTCCAAAGAAATTGAAATATTTTGGTCACTTGAAACGTCATGAAAGTCTAGAGAGAACAATAATGGAGGGGTATATGCCTGGGAAGAGAGGAAGAGGAAGGCCAAGGAGAAGATGGGTGCAGGATGTGGCAGATGATCTCCAGATGGGTGTATCAGACGCAGGACATCTTGCTCATGATAGGAAGGTTTTCCGGAGGGTTGTTATGGCAGCGAGGTTCCGCGAGGGACATGCTACTGAATGAATGAATGAATCACATCACTAATGAATGTAGATTGTTTCTTTCTGATGTGGGCTACCAGTTCTCTTCGTGAGTCCGTTTCTTTCAAGACGTCTTCATTACTCTTTTTGTCTGTTGAACGGTATTCTTATCATTCGTCTATAAAACCACATCTCTGCCGCTTCCAAATAAGTTTTCACTACTTTACTAACTGTCCATGACCATGATTCACTTCCATTTATCGATATAGGATTTTTATAGCTTTTATGAATTCTCCTTCTCGTCTCAATTGACAAATGAAGATTGCTTAAAATATTCTTCATTTTGTAAAAAGCTGTCTTTGTTTGAGCTATTCGACATTTGACCTCCTTAATACATTTTCCATCTGATGTTATCAGGGTACCCAGGTACTTAAACATATAAACTTGCAGGAGGTTTGTCCTATTTATTTTGATGTTGCATTTCGGAGGGTCAGTTTGCTTTGTAATTATCATTACTTTTTTTTTCCAACTATTTAAACTAAGACCCTTGTTTTCGAAACCAACAAGAGACTATCTGCCGCTAAAAATCGATTGCAGCTGGCTGGGATCGAACCCCGCACCCTGGCATTACGATGAGCATTCGCAACGCCTTAGCTATTGACGCCGATGTGTATAAAGTCTGTAATATAACAGCTATCTGTTACTATCATTATGCCAAGAAAACCGGTTGGCCACTTCAGAAAGAGACTACATTCTTTAGTCATGTGATGAAAAGGAGAAAACCGGAGTACATGGTGACAGTCGGAAAATTGGAGGGGAGGAGAGGTTGAGGAAGACCGAAAAAAAAAACCCAGATGCTGGACAGTTTGACTTCGTGGCATGGAGGATCCCTTACGTCAGAACTGATTGAAAGTACACGAGACAGAAGGTTGTGGATGGACATGATTACCAACGTCACACGACATGGACTTTATGAAGAAAACCTTTATTATAACTTCTTTAACGGGCATCTGAGATTGACTCTGTTGGTCAGCCACCCGGGATCGGATTCTTGAAGTCTCAGGGGCGATGTAGCCTTTAGTTTGCAACCAGGAGGAGAAGTCAGTCAATCAGTCAGTCAGTCAATCAGTCAGCTGATTAGGAATTAATTACCTTCGATAGAAAAAAAAAATATGTAATAATACTAAGGATTCAAACCCACTTCTCCCAAACAAAAACTTAGAAAGCTAATCGCCTTTTTCAAAAAAGTCTTACAACGAATTTTTAGACCGATCAATGTTGGAAACAGTGGAGAATTTGGAAGGCAAAGGAACGATAACTGGCATCATGCCGGCTAATAGACTGCAATAGCTGGAAAATATAGAGCGAATTACAACACAGATGAAAACTGCGTACGCACAAAAACTTGAAGGGAAGTCGACTACGAGACAGACCAAGAGGATAGTGGATAGATACTGGATAAATAAGGCCAAATATAGAGATCGATGGAGGCAGGTAGTGTTTTACATCAACGAACATCCAGGGCTGTTACTTACTTGGGATAAGATTTATCGACCTCCAGCAGTACGTTTTGAACTTTCAAAAACCCCTTGCCCGTGTTGGCTTTATGGGATACCAGCTTTGTCTTGAAGTGGCTTAAAGCCAGAAAGTCCAGAGCGCCTAAAAAAGCATCAAATCATTGAGTACCCAGCAGCTCAATAAAAATTTGTTGATATCCTTTTCTTTATTTTAGCGTTTACAGTTGTCATATGTGGCGGAAATTTCTGGTTGTTCAAACACATCAGGACTTTAGTCTGGTTCCAGGACTTTGAGATTTGCATGCAGATCCGTTTTACCGATCTTTATTATATGTATGCAGGCTGTTGGTTACTTGCCTTTCCAGCAGATGCACTCTGATTTCAAATAAAACATTCATAACTAGAAGCCTTGACCACGCTTGTTAGGAAAGAAGTGGGCCTATCCCCCCCTCCCAACCTAAAAATTGGGCCCTGGAACCCACCAGGGGTATGTTGTATTCTGATATTGCATAGTTTAGCTCCTCAGACTCCAACCGTTCAATACTTATGATCATGATAATAATGATGGTGATGATGATGAAAATGGCGATGATCATGATGATAATGAAGGTCGTGATGCCGATGGAAGTGATGATGATAATGATGTTATAGATGGCGGTGATGCTGATTAAAGTGATGATGATCATGGTGTTAATGATGGCGGTGATGCTGATTAAAGTGATGATGATTTTGATGTTAATGATGGCGGTGATGCTGATGAAAGTGATAATGATTATGATGTTAATGATGGCGGTGATGCTGATGAAAGTGATGATGATTATGATGTTAATGATGGCGGTGATGATGGCGGTGATGCTGATGAAAGTGATAATGATTATTGTTGTACACTTAATTTGTTGTACACTTATTTTCAACACGTATGTTTACGCACTGATACTCCTTTGTATCAGCAACCAAGTATTTAGGCCTAGGGTGCCTATTCTAGAACTCCGCTGGATATCTCCTTGATGGATGTGCTACGATGTAGTCCTGCATACTATAACTGGCACAGCATCATCTAACACAGTTGTTATCTTTACAAGCGAACAATAACGCTTGTGACAGGCCACATAAACTTTAATGGCATTAAAGTTACACGTCACAAGATGATGATGATTATTTAATGAAACGTACGATAATAACTCTCTATTAGCTACTCTGAGAATATAAAAGAATTACACTCTTTTCTCAATGGACTCCTGCCATTATAATAAATAAATAGACATTAAACTGTCTCCCGTAAGTACGGTTAATCAACACCTCACAAAGAAGGAACGTCCTATTTGGACAAGGAAAATATCTTGACTGCCGAATACTTTGTGTTCTGCAGGAGCCTTTGTGTTAATCGCCCAGCATTCAATTAGCTGGTATCCCAGGTAACGACCCGACCCGTGGCCGCTGTGTGAACTTTTCACCTGCGCTGTGACCACTAGAAGAAACTAGAAGAAACTTTAACTCTTTGGACAATAAGATTACAACAATTATGATGTTAATGATGGCGGTGATGCTGATGAAAGTGATGATGATTATGATGTTAATGATGGCGGTGATGCTGATTAAAGTGATAATGATTATAATGTTAATGATGGCGGTGATGCTGATGAAAGTGATAATGATTATGATGTTAATGATGGCGGTGATGATGGCGGTGATGATGGCGGTGATGCTGATTAAAGTGATAATGATTATGATGTTAATGATGGCGGTGATGATGGCGGTGATGATGGCGGTGATGCTGATTAAAGTGATAATGATTATGATGTTAATGATGGCGGTGATGATGGCGGTGATGCTGATGAAAGTGATAATGATTATGATGTTAATGATGGCGGTGATGATGGCGGTGATGCTGATTAAAGTGATAATGATCATGGTGTTAATGATGGCGGTGATGATGGCGGTGATGCTGATTAAAGTGATAATGATTATGATGTTAATGATGGCGGTGATGCTGATGAAAGTGATAATGATTATGATGTTAATGATGGCGGTGATGCTGATTAAAGTGATAATGATTATGATGTTAATGATGGCGGTGATGCTGATGAAAGTGATAATGATCATTATGTTAATGATGGTAGTGATGCTGATGATAGTGATGATAATGATGATAGTGATGCTGATGATAGTGATGATAATGATGATGGTGATAATAGTGATACCGATGATAAAATGATGGTGGTGATGCTGATGATAGTGATGATAATGATGATAGTGATGCTGATGATAGTGATGATAATGATGATGGTGATAATAGTGATACCGATGATAAAATGATGGTGGTGATGCTGATGAGGATGGTGCTGGTGATGACGATGATCATAATAATAAATTTACCTTTAATTCGAGCCTTCTCGGATCCACTAAAGTTTGGAAGGGACAGGCTTTCTTCCCCTTTTTTGAATTGCTTCTGATTATCGTACGACTTCATCAAAGTTGGGTAGTCGCCCTTGAACAGTGGATCCGCCATCCAGCCCAGATGGAAAGTTAGAGCTCTGAAGGCAGCATCGACGTCAGCCGAAGAATTGGTTTTGGGAACGTACCAGTCAGAGTGTAGGGCAATTCCTACTTGTCCTGAAAAAAAAAAAAAAAAAAAAAGAAACGTTATCATGAAACGATTAGACAGGATAAAGCAACCCTAGTCATCACAAAGAAACATTTTAAATAAATAAAGCGATTAGAAAGCGTAATGCAATCACAATTAGCACAAACACAAATCTCATACAAAACTAATTAATTGGTACTTCCCGTCCTTTTCAGAATGAAATTTCTCGTTATTTGAAGCTCTACTCTGGCTTTGCCAGGGGCCTGCATACATCCCGGCCATAAATTTGGCCTAAAGGCTGAACGCGGTTTCTGGAACCTCTCCAAGGGTGATCCTCATCCCCATGGTGGAACTTTGTGTCACCGGGTGTTTATCGCTCAGTGTGATATCCTAGTGTGGTAAAAAGTCAGTTAGTCAACCTATCATAACAAAACAACATATGAATTCCGGCACAATTTTGTGTTTTTTCAAAGCCCAACCCTGGTCTGTTGCCGGGGGCCCTAATATAAGGCAACCTATTTGTTGAGATTGGTTTCTGGGACCTATCCCCAGAAGATCCACATCCAAATGGTATTACTTTATGTCACCGGATGTTTATCGCTCAGTGTGATATCCAAGTGAGGTTGAACATCAGTAAGTCATACAAAACATTTTCATCCCCACCCTATTCTACTAGTGTAAAACATCGTCACGCATAATAAAAATTCAAAGAACATTGATAACCAAGGAAATGTGTTGTCTGAGTAGGGCTGCAGCAGTGACCAGGAGATAGAGCATCTGGAATGAGGTCATAAGAGGTCATACAAGAAAAAAAAAATCGGCACTGAACTAATTCTAACTTACATACAAAGACAGCAAACCAAGTGTTTGCACACTAGGAAAGAATGACTTGTGACGTCATACCATAGAAGGCTGACATTAAAAGAGGGGAGGGGCGTATGGTACAAGGCAGATCAAGAAGAGGATGTAAAGAAAACAGCAGAAAAGTTCTTCAACAGCACGATGTATCTGTGGTCAAGACGGCTAGAGGAGCAATAAGCACAATCTTATAACTTCCTCGACACCTGAAGCAGTAACAGAGAAAGTGGAGAAGGCAATGGAAGATGGAGAGAGTTTCATTGCGCTGTTTTGCACTCTGTACATTCAGTTTCGACACGCATTTTTCTGGTCTCACTTTGGCTAGCTTTTAGCCTACCTACGAAGAAGCAAAACTGCGTCCGTCTTCTCCTAGTCCCGACCCTTTAGCCTGTCTGACATTAACTACGCTACCAGTGGTCGATTTGTCCCCTCTGAGGGGCTACCTACAGGTTTACATGTTTACCACACTATCATGAGATTGAAAAATCGTAATCTGGAGGGTAGACCAAATACGCCGTTAATCTCCAAATAAGTTCTAATTAGGGCAGTTTCACACCAGCCAGGTGTCACGTGCAATTCTATAATAGTAGGAACGAGGCTAACTTACCACAGGAATAATTTTAAAGTCTATGGAACACCAAGCCTCGCGGTTGTACAAGATTGGAAACATATTAGAAAGAAAACAAATTAACAGGATACAAATAATTGACCATTTTGCAGTCACTAAAGAAGATACCATCTAGCGCAACATCAGCAAAGAACTTAGAGCAAAATCCTGATAACATGAGTGCTTCTCTTCTCATCAAACAAATTTGGGTCGTGGACTATTTCGCAATGATCAACGGAAAAAGAATGTTTAAACGTAGATATAAATGTACAGAGCAAGCTGCGGAGAGCCAACCAAGACCTTCAACCGATGTCCGAGTTCATAGAGGCAGTCCACTGACAGTCTGAGCTGGGTATACGAAACAAATCGCTAAGAAAAAGAACTTATATGTTAAGTAAAACTCCTATAGCATCCTAAGTAGTATATAGCAACGTGATCTACCGCAAAAGATGTCGTGGTTTACTTATATTCTATATTAAAAAACTTCTTTCTTTATTCTTAGTAAAGAAAAAAAAAATGATTTGTCCACCGATATAGCCTAAAGAAAAAAAAATAATGTTGCCCGTCCAGTAAAAATATAGTGTGTGGGCAAAGTGGGCGAGATGGGTCACACATGTGCATTTTTCATCAAGCGTGGCTTTCGCGTGACAGGCTGCTTGTTAGCCAAGTGACTAATCAGGGTCAGCTGTGTGGAATGATAGACAGTGGGATGAGGGATTGGTGATGGGGGTCTTTGGATTTGGTTGGGTCTGTCTGTGCGTACGTGACTGACATATCTACTCTTAACTAGGGGTTGGTTTAGAGGGTAGTTTTCTTTTTTTGTTGTTGATGGTATCTGTATGTACTGTGGAGGTGTGGTGTAGGCGTTAGAAGCATAGTGTCAGCAGACTCTGAACTCTAACCGTATTTCTTGAAACTGCATCATTACAAAAGGTTAGCTGCATAAAATATAAACGATTAAGAAAATACGAACAAACGCGTGGTGTAAAAAAAACATCTTTTGTACTAACATTTAGAAGTTTGTCTATGCATTGTAAACAAAGGCATTATAAACAATTTACCAAGCCACCGCAATGTGACTTACCATTTTGGGAAGCCTTGTAAGTGTCTCTGTAGATTATATAAGCCTCGGCGTGAGCCCGAATCAGGTTATGCCCAACAGGATACACTAGGTCTGGGTTTTTTAAACCTGGGGCGTGCTCGCCAGTTTCGTAACCTTTGTAGGCCAGGGACACGGGATCCTCAATAGTTATCCACGTCTTTACCTTTAAAAAATTATAAATTTAATAAAACGCTCCATTTAGGCTATGGAAAGGAGCAAATGTTTTCAGAATTAGTTATTAAATTTACACGAAACTTCAAAGAAAAATCTGAAACGCTTCTTACAAGATCTTAGAGAAAAACACGCACATAATTTAAAGGGTCAAATTATTATAAGAACAAACGAACTCAGTTTCAAAACGTGATGCCCCCTAGATACTTAGTGAGGCACAATGGAATCTACCAATCAAATCTCTTTCTTAATTGTTCGTTATATTCCAGACAAAGCATTACTGTCTGCTGTGTTTGTAAATTGTTGCTGTGTGTGTTATTCGACCCATGCTTGATTTATGCAATATATGGTGCCATTTCAATGGTTCGAGATGAATTCTGTCCGTATTCCATAGCTGTCTATTTCAAACTGTAGACATAGCCAATAAAGACAACTTTTTTTTGGGGGGTGCCTCTTAGGTCATCTATATAAATAATCTTATTACCATATCTAGGCATATACGCCATTTGAAGGTGACAGGCTTGGCACGGTAACTACAGCTTTTGATTTTTATGTTGTTTTGTCTGTCCTTCCATCTTTCTACTTCTTTCTATGAGTACCGATCAATACATTATCTGTTAAGTTTATATATATATATATATATATATATATATATATATATATATATATATATATATATATATATATATATATATATATATTAGGGCTGTACCGAATAGTGATTTTCACTATTTGGCCGAATACGAATAGCTGGACCCACTATTCGGCCGAATACGATTACAAATACGAATAGTGAATCATCATCATCATGTACTTTGCTGGCTGGCATGGGCGATTATGCCTCGCCACAATCTGCGATCTCCTGCAGCACGTATTAGTTCGTGTGCTGACACACCTCCATGAAAAAACTTCGTTCCATGTTGTCAGCATTTTTGTCTCACTGAAGGTATTTCCAGCTGTACTAAACAGGAAAATACGACAAATACAGAGAGTCAAGATGAAAACCCGCAAGGCGAAACATCAAAAACAAAAATAACGTCGACGAAGAAAACAATGCCATCCTCACAAGTCGCCAGCCCCCGCGAGCTCAACGGAAACAAGATCGCGACATCAAAGACCACCGCGGTAACAGAGAGGGACACCGCCGAGCAGCCAACACCTGAAGATCACATAACGAAGAAATCCGTGCAGACGAAGAAACCAGACGCCGAGCAGCCAACACCTGAAGATCACATAACGAAGAAATCCGTGCAGACGAAGAAACCAGACGCCGAGCGGCCAACGCCAGAAGATCAAACAACAAACGAGACAACGATAGAACAGTTACGACACCCACAAACATAAATGATAATGAACTCCCGTTACTTTAAACAATCAACGAAGAAGACACTCCACTTAAAGAAATCAAGCCGACAACACTAGAACACTTGCTTTTCTGCCCCTCTTACATTTTCAAGTGTTGCATTTTGTTTCTACAGCAACACACCTAAAAACACTATACTCGCAACACATACAAGATGGAAATAAAGGGGTAACAACCCCCCAACAAAAAAAACAAAAAAAGACGTTCACTTGGTACGCTCGTAGGTGGTGCACAAAGATAACGCTTGACAGTATAAACCAAGGTGGGAAATCTTGATTTTTTTTTCCCACCAGTCCAGAAACGGTTGTGTGGCAACCACTATTCGTATTCGGCCCGACCGCAACTATTTGGCAGAATACCGAATAGTTATTGGGTCCACTATTCGGCCCCGAAGCGAATACGAAGCGAATATTCGGTACAGCCCTAATATATATATATATATATATATATATATATATATATATATATATATATATATATAATGACAGGGCAACGGTAGGCGCAGGAAAGGTAGCGGGCGGAGCCGATATTTTCACCGCTTTCAAGAAGACAGAACGAGTAAATAGTTGAGGAAACATTGAATTTAAATCATGACAAGACTACAAGAATTTCCTGTCCAAAGAGACGTTGCCAGACACGCAAACTCTGAGGTAGCCGAAGAAGAATAGTAAACCAACACAAATCTGTGTTATCAGCCGCCACACACCGAGGGAGGAGCAGCTGGCTGAATGGTTAAAACGCTGAGCTCCCAAGCTAGGTTTTTTTTTTACATCAGGGGCAAAATAAAATGCTCACCTGCACAGTGGTGGCGACGGCACTAGCGGCCGTAAATCATCAGGCTCAAAAACTGCCCAGCCTACACCGCAAAAGTGGCTAAATCGATGCGAACGCTTCGTAATGCCGGGGTACCGGGTTCGATCCTAGCTGCGGGTCATGCGCCTTGCGTTGGTTTCGACAGTGGTATCAGGGGGCCGACCGTCCAGCGAGCAGTGGCAAACTACTGGACGAAAATTTGCCTAGAGAAACCACACAACAGCCAGGGGCTACTGGGGTTTGTTCTGCAACGTCCTGTAAAGGATACGCAACTAACCTAATATCCCGATGGGTTCCGGGGCCCTTATTATAGGGAGAACAAGAACAGACCCACTGTCTACCAAAAAGCATGTCGTTAGAGTCAACTAATTGGGAGCTTCCTTCGAAGTCGGAGTGCTTCAGCCTAAGAAGCAAGGAACCAACAGTTTGCACACAAATGTGGAAGATCTGTCAAACGGATGCACAAGCAACACTCAGGTTCTGAAACATGACTGCAGTCCAGAAGTGGACGAACAAGCAAAACTTTCCACCAGAGTTTACAACTGCTGAACGCAAAGAAAAAAGAAGAAGGCAGTAATTGACAATTTGGCAATAGGCAGACACACTGAGAGAGATCAGGAAAATAAGATCCGAACACTTACGAACCTGTCTGATTTGCGATGAGAATAATCAATTGATTAATTACCATAGAAAAAGAAGGGGAGGTGTTATTGGTGAGAAGAGAAATAATTATTGTATTTTAAAAAAGGTATATATCCGAGCAGTTAATGAATGATTATCTTCTACAATACCCTGTCACCAAAAGTCTTGAAACACAAGTCAGCATACTCCTTGAACCACGTGACCGATGAGTCATTCGCCCAACCACCGAGGTTCTGCAGCTGCTGGGGTAGGTCCCAGTGATGAAGTGTTATGAAAGGCTGGATACCATAAGCTAACAGTTCGTCGATTAGCTCGTTGTAGTAGGCCACGCCTTTATCGTTAACACGTTCAGTAGTTCCAGTTGGGAGAATTCGTGGCCACGACAGGGAGAACTTGTAATGGGAGACCTGCAACAAAGTCAGGATGGTGTGTTTAAGAAGACATTCATCAAACTGGACTTAAAAATTGATAAAGACATAGGTAAAGGATCAGTTGAATGCCTCGGGGATAGTGGGCGGAGGCTACGGCCCATATTTTGATAGACTAATCCCTAAACGGGTTCTGAGACTCAAGTGGGAAGGGAGGGGGCAGAGGGGTGTGTGTCAAAGAACCACCCTCCCCCTTTCGTCCACGCGCTCCTAGAAATTTGGGAGGGACCTCCTGAGGCTTAAGAATTTTTCAACTACATAAGTAATAATAATAATAATAATTGGTAATATTGTAAAAGTTATTATTATTTCTACTGTTATTTTTATGTTCAGAATAGCAAATACAAATATAAATAAAAACTAGGAAATGTGTAAACAAATGCTTGGAAAGAGAAAGTGAGGTAATAGGTGGAAGAGGGGTAGGAAGGGCGAGGCAAATGGTGGCTGCTCTATACAAATTATTGGGGAGCACCACCCCACTCCCCCCTCCCTTCCCATTTTGCCTAAGTACCGGCGCCCATGATCTAGTTGCTATACTAACCCACACTGTCCCCTTTCTTACTGTTTTTCTTTCTGTCCCACCATGTTAATATTTTAACTCCTTAGGCCTAAATTAAATGTATAATAAAAGTGAAGGCGTTTTTCTGGGACAAGTACAGACATTCAAGTATATAAGTACATGGATAACATCCGATGGAAGATGTATCACTGAGATAAAGAAAAGAACAGGTCAGGCCAAAACGTGGGTGATATGGTCAGCATCACACCGGTCGCCTTGACTTCCCAGGACTTTATCTGGTACCCCTTTAAAGCTGGGTCAACCTGGAAGCCAATGTAATTTCTGAAAGAAGAAAAAAGTTCAGCTCTGAAAGGATCTGAGCCTACAACCATCCCATTCGCAAGCCAGCGTCTATCTACTACACCATGGCTGCTGTCCGACGGGAACTAGACTACAATAATATGGTAAAATATGGCTTTGCGGGGATTTCAACAGCTGTGCTAGCGTTATACTACAGTTCATAAAACTGATACTAGCCATTGAAAGTTAGTTAATAAAACGGTTCGAACAAAGAAGACACACATAGTAGATTGCAAAATTTATTGCCTGACATATTTCACCGTATCTCGTCAGGTGCATATTACAATAAACAATTGATTAAAATGTAGCAACTAAATGAAACCTTCAAATTTAAACAAATATTCTGCTATATTTATAGACTGTATGTTTCACTAAGGTAAGTGCAAAGTGACGAGCATTTCCTTCTTTGCACACTAAACAAGTTCATAAGCACTGGAATCCCATCTTCGCGGGGCATCGTGTCCGCCTGGAGTACTAGAGGTTCAATCCCCGGTGAGGGATAGGATTTTTTCACAGACTTGGACTCCTAGTAATTTCCCCCCCCCCCCCCACCGGTCTCTGGTTAGTGAAATCGGACGCCCGTGTGTATCAAGAGCCGCCGTTCAGTAGCAAGTGGGAAACTACTAAACGTAAATTTGCATAGAAAAACCACAGCAGCCAAAAAAAAAATGCTCCAAATAATCAGCTAGAATATAGACAACTTGCAAATGTAGATATGCAGTGGAATAGGCACGTTGCGCTTCGTGGAAACAAAAACAATCTAAAATAGAGGTTCAGGAACGACTGCAATTAAAAAGTGAATTATTGAAAAAGTAAACAGTAAAACTGAAGTATTTTGGCCACATTAAAAGACATAATACGCTTTTAAAAACCAGACTGGTATGAAACATCGAGAACAATAGAGTACAAGGGGATAAAGTTAGAAGTGGGAGGAGAGCGTTAAAAGATGGACAAACAGCAGACGGTGAGAGTGTACAGCCAAAGACAGAACATGTTGGAGATCCACTGCAGTCAACCTTCATTGTGGAGATGCAACCTGGCTGATTGATTTTGTTCACACTTACGCCGAGGGATTTCAGCAGCTGCACATCGGTCTTCACATTTTGGTAGCCGTCGGCAGCAATCTCTGCGTCACCGCCTCCGTCGATATTTGCCCATTTCCTGGCGAATGAGTCCCAGATACTGGGCCCTTTTCCTGTGGTAATAAAGTAAAATGAATGACCCTTTTCCACCCCTTTTAGTATCGGCACTTAGGGGTGATGCGGTCAACACACATAACAGCGTCATTTTTTTGGCACATCGACGTAGCTCCAGCAACGGTCAAATCATTATTTGTTTCGTTGCCCGCCCTGATTTTGTTTTCAATCGTTAGTTGTAAGCATTTCGCTGTTTACTCGGGTGATAGGGATTCGATTCCCCGCTGGGTGATATACTTTTTTTAGGGCTCCTAACTGGGTGGCTGCCACGTTTTGTTGGGGTTTATAGCAAGGCTGCAATATCTACGCTTTTTCCCGTTCGAATTTGGGGTTTAAAGCTAGCCTGCGATAGCGGCGACGGGATGCTCACTGTTCATGTTACGGGTAATATTCGTTCGCCCTTACGCCCAAAGACATCCAATTTCAGTACAGTCCAAATTAGCCTCCCCCGACGCTTCACAACCAAGAGGTTTTGAAAGAGGCGGGAGCCCGAAGACAACTTATCAAAGACATCAGAAGGAGACAGTCATCAATTTTCGGCTATGTTATGAGAAAAGGGAAAATAGAACATGTTGTGACCACTGGAAAGATCTGTGGAAAAAGGGATAGAGGAAGACAACGAGAGAAGATGCTTGACAGTCTTGTTGCATGGCATGGAGGTGTGTCGGCACCCGAACTAATACATGCTGCAGGAGATCGCAGATTATGGAGAGGCATGATCGCCCATGCCAGTCGGCAAGGCACCTGATGATGATGATGATGACGCTTCACTCGATCAAAAACTATTCGTTGATGACAAAAACTGTTAACTAAGACGGTTTACGGTCCAGTTTGGTTTGGGTCGACACGGATGCCAAGGTTAGTTAAACATCGTCCCTTCGGAGAGGTAGATATGACGAGTACGGGTTTTTATTTCCGCTATTTGGGAGCATAGTACTTTTTTTTTACTGTGGGTTCCACCACTGGCTAGGTGATGGAGTTTTATGTCAGGGACACACTTAAACTAAACAGTCCGTTGCGACAGCATGCGGCGCCAACTCCTCTGGCTACAACGACCTGTACAGACAGTTGTGACCGTTTTGTGTTGTTGTTGTTGTAGCGGTAGCAGTAGTACTGGTACTCGATGGGTGATGTGGTAGCTGTTACACTGGCCACATTTACTTCTCAGTACAGATGAATGCTACCCATTTTTGTATGGGTGGACATGGATGCCAAGCTCAATTTAACAACAATATGTTGTCAGGCACTGACTTTCCCATATTTTGTAGGGGATGATATGATTGTCACAGGGGGTGTCGAGGGGGGGGGGGGGGGTTGATGCCAGACACTGTTAACTGAGAGAGCTCAAAAATATTATTTTAACGTTCCCATTTCTTAACTATTTTTATTTTAACAATGTCGCCACATAATAATGTTTCAATCATTCGGAGAGGGAGATACAATTGGGCAGATGCTCGAGTCCTTGGTAGCGTAGTTGTATATTTTGCGTGTTACGCGGGTGACTGGCGATCAATGCCCCGCTGGGTGACAAACATTTCTTTTGTTTACCCCTAAACTAAGCAGCTGGCACGTTGTTTTGTAGTTTTACAGCTAGGTTGCGATATCTACGTCTTTTTCCCGCTCGGTTTGGGGGTTTACAGCTAGCCTGCGATAGCGGCGACGTGATATTGGTCATGTCACGGGTAATCTTTGTTCGCCCTTGAGATGGCGGTTGGCACGTTGTGTTGTGGTTTACAGCTTGGCTTCAATATCGGACCCAAACTCTTCAATTTTAGGTTGTATAATTGTAAGTATTCCGCCCTTCAATTGGTTGACCGCTGTTCGATTACCCCTGGGTGCCAATTTTTCTTTTTCCCTCAAGTAGGCTGTTGGCATGGTGTGTTGTGGTTTACAGCTAGGCTGCGATATCTACACCTTTCACCCAAAGGCATCCGATTTTAGTAAAGTCCCATTTATCCTCCCCGCGATGCTTCACTCGATCATAAACTATTCGTTGATAACAGAAGCTAAGACTAACCAATTTACTTTGGGTGGACACGGATGCCAAGGTCATTTAACATTCGTCCCTTCGGAGAGGGGAGATGACGGGTGGGGGTTTTTATTTCCGCTTTTTGTGATTATAGAACAGACTATTACTATGGGCTCCATCATTGGTTAGGTGATGGAGTTTTTCTTTTTTTTTTTTTTTTTTTTTGAGAGCTCAGTTACACTAAACAGTCCGCGGCGACAACATACAGCGCTAACTCCTCTGGCTACACCAACCTGCACAGTCAGTATTGACTGTTTTTTGTTTTTGTTCTGAAGGTAGTGGTGGTAGTGGTAGCAGTAGTACTGGTACTGGATGGGTGATGTGGTAGCTGTTACACTAGCCACATTTACTTCTCATTACACATTAATGCTATCCATCTGTCTCTGGGTGGACACGGATGCAAAGCTCAATTTAGTTACAATATTTCGTCAGATGATGACTTTCCCATCCTTCGGCGAGGATGATATGATTAGTGGGGGTGGGGGTTGGCAGACATTGTTAGCTGAGAGAGCTTAAAACATTATATTAAAGTTATCATTTCTTAGCTATTTCTATTTTTAATAATTTCGTCAAGTGATGATTTTTTATTCCTTCGGAGAGGGCAATTTTTTGGGGGGTGGGGGGGGGGGGGGGGTATGCTAGACACTGTTAGCTGAGAGAGCTTAAGACATTATTTTCAATTTCTCATTTCTAAACTATTTCTATTTTAATACTCTTGCCAGGGTTGATTTTCCAGTCCTTCGGAGAGAGAGAGAGATATGACTGGGTAGAGGGGAGAGGGAAGGGGGGTGAGGGTTATGACAGACACTGTTAGCTGAGAGCTACTTTTTTTCTTTTCCATTTCACCATTTGGGGCCACAGCAACGCGTGGCAGGGCACAGCTAGTAAATATATATATATATATATATATATATATATATATATATATATATATATATATATATATATATATATATATATATATATATATATATCAGACAGTCTGTAGGAAAAACGCGATGCAAGAAATTGATTGGGAAACAGAAGATCAAATGGTTTGGTCATCTAGTAAGAATGCAGCCAGAACAACTACCAATGCGAGTGCTACACATGAAAAGATCTGAAGAGAAATCAAGAGGCCCCTCTAAGAAAGCTTAACTGATGACATCACAGAGCTTCTACATCGACACGAAATAACAATAGTTATTGCTCCCCATGAAGCAATTGGATCGCAAACTGTTCCTCCCCACAACGCTTAACAGCAAAAGTGGAGATTGATGATGATGATAATGATGATGATGTTGACTTATGTCAGGTAAAGCAACAAATAGCAGTAACACCTCCTTAACACTAACTCCAAGAGACATACAATCGAGTTAGTGTAAGACAGAAATTTGCGCGAAAGCGGGCGCTAACACTAATAGTATTAATATTATTAAGAAGAATATTAAGAGTAATAATAATAATGATAAAAGTAGTAGTAAAAGTAATGGTAATGGTAGTAGCAGCAGCAGTAGAAGTAATATTAGTAGTAGTCATAGTAGTAGTAGTAAAAGTAGTAGTAGTAGTAGTCGTAACAAAAGTAGTAGTAGCAGCAGTAGCAGTAGCAACAGGAGCAGCAGTAGCAGTGGTAGTAATAGTTGTAGCAGCAGCAGCAGTAGCAGCAGTAGCAGCAGAAGCAGTAGTAGTATTAGTAGTGGTAGTAGTGGCAGCAGCAGTAGAAACAGCAGTAGTAGTAGCTGCAGCTGAAGTAGCAGTAGTAGTAGCAGCAGCAGAAGTAGTAGCAGCAGCAGTAGTAGCAGCAGCAACAGTAGTAGTAGTGGCAGCAGCAGTAGCAGTGGCAGTAGCTGCAGCAGCAGTAATTAGAATAAGCAGCAGCAGCTGCAGTAGTAGCAGCAGTAATATAGTAGTAGCAGCAACAGTAGTAGTGGCAGCACTAGCAGTAGTAGTAGTAGTAGCAGTAGCAGTAGTAGCAGCAGCAGCAACAGTAGTAGTAGTAGTACATCCTTGTTAGGACCAACATTTTGATTGTGTTAACCGCTGTTCCAATTAAACTAATTGATGTTGTGAAGGTTTAAATGTACAGCACTTTACCGTCCCGGTCCCAGGCTCCCTCTGTAGGCAAGGCAGAACTGCTGACCCCAAATATAAAGGATTTCGGGAACTCAATAACAGGGTGTTGTTCAAGAGCACAACACGCCGTGAAAAACAGCAAGAGCAGATGCATTTTATCAGATCTTTACACAACTTGTTTCAGTCGTGCCTGTCTGCAATTTAAAAGAAAAAAAATGGTAGCGTAAACATGTATATGTAGAAGAATAAAAACAAAATATTACGATTCTTCTTCACTTCCGTCTTTACCGCTACGGGTGTCGAGGGAGACATAAGGTACTGTTTCCTGCTCTTCTAGTCGGCAAGACCACAGACTGATCGTGTTGTGGAATTTTTTCCTAAATATAGCCATGGTCGAATACCATTTGATCAGTCCGTTTATATCTCATTTTTATGTTCTGTACCGATAATAAATCCACTGCCGGCTTGCTAGGCCTCACCAACTTCTCCCAGAGATCCGCTGGCCAGAATGTTTTTGGGTGAGCCAGGATATAGTAATGATCAGGCGGATTGAGGCAAGCTCGTAACGCACACAGTGGACTGAATCATTGCAAAACTCTCCTGTTTGTGCAGTTACCTTCATATTTGTCCCAGGGTATGCAGGTGTTGTTGGCAGAGAAAGAGCTGATAGACTGGCAGGTTCTGCAATAATTGCAGATGGCCGACCAACGTATTAGGCAGACATTGTCAATGCCCTTAGAGAGATAGAACGTTGCTAGAATTTTAGAAGCAACGTGTCAACATCACTGCTAAGAATATACGAGAACTGGGAGAAAAGATCGGTACAGCCAAGCACGAGAAGCTGAGGAGGAATTTGAGCAGCTATGAACGTGTCCGGAGTGCTGTGAAGATAATCCAAATCCTAACTCAAGTCAGTTTATTACATCTTTCCACATCTTGCTTTAATCAGCGCGCTTAAAAAAAAAACCCAAACATACATATACTCACTCACACACACACATACATATATGCGCACATATCCATCCAAACATGTGTACATATGTATACGTACTTAAATACACACACACATTTACGTATACATAACATACACACACACACATTTACGTATACATAACATACGTACAATCGGCGTTTGTAGCTGAATGTTAAAGAATGCAATTTCTGACTAAACACCTCTGGTCGGTTATATACGATATGCCCAGTCAACCGCTTTGCGATGAGGTCAACGGCCTCATGGAATCTTGACAGTTGAGGTAGAAAAACAAACGTAAAATTGGCTAGTAAAACAATAAACAGCCAACAAATGCTGGGATAGTTTGACAACGGTCCCAGACTGAAATACAACTTAATGTACTTGATTGAAGTCAGTCGGACAAAAAGACGGTTTGGCTATCGGGCAGGGTAGAGACGCCGAGATGCAGCAGATTTGTAAAAGCGTGTGATGGTGACTCATCAAGATATTGACGACAATAAAACTGACCGTTATAATAAACGGTGGTGTCTTGAGTGGTCTAAAACGTGTACCTAAAATAACTGAAGGTTTTTAAAATCCTATGTGGCTCCCCAATTTTTGACTTGTTGGCCTTACAGTCTTGCTAAAACTGTCTGGTCGGTCAGTCAGGTCAATCAGTCAGTCAGTTTGTCAGGTCAGTCAGTCAGGTCAGTCAGTCAGCCAGTCTGGTCAGTCAGTCAATCAATCAGATCAATCAGTCAGTCAATCAGTCAGTCAATCAGGTCAGGTCATTCAGTCAGGTCATTCAGTCAGTCAGTCAGGTCAGTCAGTCAGTCAGCCAGTCTGGTCAGTCAGTCAATAAATCAGGTCAATTAGTCAGTCAGGCCAGTCAGTCATTCAATTAGTTATTAAGTCAGTCAATCAGTCAGTCAGTCAGTTAAGTACAGTACTGAAGACTCTCTACACCTGGCCATCAGTGCGAAAGTGTATTTACTGACGATCGTTGTAAGAAAACACTAAATGGTTGCCCTACCCACGGCCTTCTCTAGGCCTTTGCTAGTTTTAATCCTACACAAGATTGTTTGCACCTGACAACTGTCGATATTCTCAAGATAAGGTTTCTAAATTACCTGTCTGTATTTTCCCCAAAAGTAAGATTTCTACATTCAAAGTAGAAAAAGAATAAACAACCAGTTCCCAAAAATCCAAACTACTGACTAGAAACAGTGACACGCACATCACAACACGACTGTCTGTCGTGAATTTAAATTCAAATTGCTGTTATTTAACAGCAAAGTTTGAAAATCTTGTATATCCACTTCACAATATCCGCTTGTCGATTTGTAATACGAATACATTCAGAACACAGAACTTTGTAAGCACGTTAAAATGTCACACAATGCAACATGGAAACGCTTCCAGTAACCAGTTTTCGAGGGGAATCCGTCAAAATGTACCGTGAGTTAGTCAGTAAGGACCTATATACAGCCGGACCTGCCCTACCTTAGATATTTAGGCGGCAGTTGATTCTCACTATATGTCGATGCATCCAGTCCCTTGGTACTAGAATCAACTTCTCAGTAAATCCCATAGCGCTAGCGCTAAGCTGCCAACATCAGTTCTGTCGTGGTTTTTGCCTTTCCTTGGGCTTCCTGCAAAGTGCTCTTGTTTGGCCACACCCCATTTAACCCGCTGTTTCCATAGTCTGATCATGGTTGCGCACTTGGTTCTCGCAAACGACTTCTTCTCAGAAAACATTTAAATGAAAGCTGTGTGAAGGATGAGCACACATCACCAGGAGATGTTGTTAAATACTAGGGCTGTACCGAATGTTCGCTTCGTATTCGCTTCGAGGCCGAATAGTGGACCAAATAACTATTCGGTATTCAGCCGAATAGTTGCGGTCGGGCCGAATACGAATAGTGGTTACCTTACACTCCTTTCTGCATACACTGCGGTGGACTGAAACAACTCTCTCGATAACACAAAAGTTGCTGTCGCCTAAGTCGGTTGCGTGGTACAGCAGCTGGTAAGGTCTTTGCCTGCTGACTCGACCGAGGCTTTACAGCAGAGGCTCTCAAACTGAGTGCGTATGCCAGGAGTGCCGCGGCGAAAATCAAGAAAAATCGTCTATAAATTGAGACAATATTAAAGAAGGCATAAAGATACTTACAAGGTTAAATTTAAATTGTCTTTCCTCGCCACTGTCGAAAAGAGGACAGATGTCAGGCAATAACTACATTTTATAAAATGAAGAACATCTTATGCAATATCTCTTTGTCATTGAAGGTTAGAAAAATAATTCTTGCTTGCTACATACATCCAGTATTAACATATGGTTGTGAGTCCTGGACAATCGATAGGCAGGTCAAACAATTTCTTGAGGCCTCAGAGATGTTTTTTACAGAAAAATGCTTAAAATAGCTTGAACAGCAAAATAAAAAAAAAAAAAAGCAACCAAGGGGTTTCGAAAGAGCGGGAGCCCTAAGACAACTTATCACAGACATCAGAAGGAGACAGTCATCATTTTTCGGCTATGTTATGAGAAGAGGGAAAATAGAACATGTCGTTATCACTCGAAAGATCTGTGGAAGGAGGGATAGAGGAAGACAACGAGAGAATATTCTTGACAGTCTTGTTGCATGGCATGGAGGTGTGTCAGTACACGAACTGATACATGCTGCAGAAGATCACAGATTGTGGCGAGAGATAATCGCCCACGTCAGCCGGCAAGGCACCTGATGATGATGATACACTATTCATATTCGGCCGAATAGTTGGTCCCACTATTCGTATTCGGCCAGCCCTATTAAATACGCACATGACCCTGTGATTCGCCAGAAACGATGTGAATTTGCTTTCACAGCAAAAACGAAATTAAAATTCATCAAAAAGGACAGCGGAGCTTTTGCTTCTACACACTCAGCATGCTTTGCATCGTCATGGCTGTAACAAAGGCTGTAGAATGGCTGAAAACTCAGGAATTTAGGGCGGGATATATACGGTAAATTGAATCCATCTGATAAAGCACGCAACTATTGGTATAATCGCCGTCATTTTTTATCTCAGTGTATGCAGTGAAAGGCAATGATAAAGTCACAGAAAAAGGTATGTGGCACAGAAATAGGTACGTGGCACAGAAATAGGTACGTGGCACAGCCAGAAATAGGTACGTGGCACAGCCAGAAATAGGTACGTGGCACAGAAATAGGTACTTGGCATAGTCAGAAATAGGTTTGTGGCACAGAAATAGGTACGTGACACAAAAATAGGTACGTAACACAGCCAAAAAAAAAGGTACACGACACAGCCAGAAATAGGTGCGTGGCACAGAAATAGGTACGTGATACAGCTAGAAATAGGTACGTGACACAGCCAGAAATAGGTACGTGACACAGCCAGAAAAAGGTACGTGGCACATAAATAGGTACGTGGCACAGAAATAGGTACCTGGCACAGAAATAGGTACTTGGCACAGTCAGAAATAGGTACACGGCACAAAAATAGGTACACGGCGCAGAAGAAGGTACGTGGTACAGAAATCGGTACGTGGTACAGCCAGAAATAGGTGCGTGGCACAGAAATAGGTACGTGGCACAGCCACAAATAGGTGCGTGGCACAGAAATAGGTACGTGGTACAGAAATAGGTACGTTGCACAGCCAGAAATAGGTACGTGACACAGCAAGAAATAGGTACGTGGCACAGAAAAAGGTAATTGACACAGTCAGAAATAGGTACGTGGCACAGAAATAGGTACGTGACACAGAAATAGGTACGTGGCACATTTAGAAATAGGTACGTGGCACAGCCAGAAATAGGTGCGTGGCACAGAAATAGGTACGTGGCACAGAAACAGGTACGTGACACAGCCAAAAATAGGTACAAGGCACAGCCAGAAATAGGTACGTGGCACATTCAGAAATAGGTATGTGACACAGAAATAGGTACGTGTTACAGCCATAAATAGGTACGTGACACAGCCAGAAATAGCTAGGTGACACAGCCAGAAATATGTACGTGACACAGCCAGACATAGGTACGTGGCACAGAAAAGGTACGTGGCACAGAAATAGATATGTGGCACATAAATAGGTTCTTGGTACAGTCAGAAATAGGTAGTGGCACAGAAACAGGTACGTGGCACAGAAATAGGTACGTGGCACAGAAATAGGTACGTGGCACAGCCAGAAATAGGTACGT